GTAGTCCTTAGCTTACCTCTTTCACACAGTCACCTGAAGGTTTTGGCAAGTACTTGATTCTGTAGGAAGGCCGGGAACCAAATACATAAAGTTAGTCATCAAAAGAGTATGTCAAACATATACTGTATCTAATGTGGTAGAATGTATACATAGTTGGCATAAGTTGATGGTAACAGGCTGCTCCAGTCACTCACTGCCCCTAGTTTCAAACGCAGTGTACGCACATCCAATAACGTGCAGGTGCTTGGAACAAAAAACGATCACTGTCCCTCCCTCCCTTGCCCCAGCACCTCTCCGCCTCGATGGGCAGCCCTCCAAGAACTATCTGTAACCCACTCCTGTTTATCAGGATGGTCACTCACTGCTCCTCCCTCACCCAGCATTTCTCTGCCCCTCTTCCCCAACACCCATCTCCTCCAGTGGGCAGCGCTCCCAGAACAAACCCATCCCTTAGGCTACTCTACTCCTGTACTATTCAGACCTGGGTTCAACTACTACTTGAAATCTTTCAAAAACTTTGAGCGTTTGCTCTAGCCTGCCTGGAGTGGCGGGTGCAGTTATCTGACTATTCTATTGGTTCTATTGTGCCAGGCAAGCTCAATCAAGCTCAGATAAAGTATTTGAAACAATTTAAAAAAGTATTCTAACCCAGGTCTGGTAATGTTTATACAGCAGCTTTCCTCCCGTGGGTCAGTTGGTGGGCCGTTAGGTGGAGGGAGAGAGGGAGGATGAGGATCAATAAAAGGTCTTCCTCATCCGGCCTCATCATAGACGCAGGACGCTAATGAGCCGGGAGAAAGAACAGCTGACTACTCACTTTCCGTCCCATATACACCCCGGTCTGACCACAGGGGACTCGGACTTACACACACACACTGTACTGGGACAAAGTGAAAGCAGATTGCAGGGTGATATGCAAAGGAGTTGCTGCATGGCTCATTGACTCACATCAGGTCGGACCATGGAGGACGAACAAAAGACATCATGCAGCCACGTTCCTTTGTTTAACCTTTCACTACCCCACTTCACAATGTATAGCAGTAGCCTAGGAATACTATAAAGGTTTTAACACATTTAAAGGAACGAAGGCCTCTCAGTAAAATTAAAGTTATAAGACAGTGATAGTAAGAGTCTTGTTGAGATGCATTGTATTTTAGTCTCAACAGCCCAGCATATATGGTTTCAACAAGAACAGAGAACAGGGTTGGTTAAAGGGCAATATCTGCCTGACTACATGGGTTCAGGGGAGAGATCTTGAGGCCACATCGAGACCTCACTATCCACTAGTAGGCCCAGTAAACCACCTGTATCCTTGCACTGACCCCAAAGTATATTTATTTTCTATACTATTAAAGATAATGAACAATGTTGCAGTTGGTTATACAGTCTAGCCTATGAAAAATGTATGCACTCACTAACTGTAAGTCGCTCTGGATAAGAGTGTCTGCTAAATGTGTCTGCTAAATGACTAAAATGTAAATGATTCTAGCATCCACATTGTTTGTCCATGTGTGCTTCAGGAGCAACAGAAACACAGAGGGGGCTTTGGGTTTTTTACCCCTGGTGCACTACTGACACCAAGTGGACATTACAGCTAATGCACCTCTGGTATAATTAGAATGAAGGACTGCATTGAATCCTTAAACTCAACTCTGTTCCACTGCATTTTTTAATTGTTCCCCTCTAGTCAGGGGCTGATTTAGACCTGTGACACCAGGTCTGCAATTAATTATCAAGTAGAACAGAAAACCAACAGGCTCCGGACCTCATAGGTTAAGAGTTGAGTATCCCTGGCATAGAACGTCCATAAAATGTCTTTGCATTCTTGGATTTGACATAGGAGACACCCTGTGAACCCTTTCACATCCAATGTGATCAGTGATAAAGGTCAATTACTTTTGTATCCAGTCACTGTCAAACTGTCCTGTTTATATGCTTTATCAAGAGCTTCATTGTGAATCACCTGTATATTTAGTACCGGACTCATTCCAAGTCACTTGAGCTGAATAATATTATAATTAGCATTACCATTTGAGAAAGACATTGCTCTTAGCCTGCAGCATGTTCAAAACCTGACTACCTTCAATCAAGTCACTTTGCAGGACGCAGTATATGAGGGCTGGGAAGTATGGCAGTGAATGGGTCCTCAGATCCTCAAAAAATTATACAGCTGCACCATCGAGAGCATCCTGACTGGTTGCATCACCGCCTGGTATGGCAACTGCTTGGCCTCCGACCGCAAGGCACTACAGAGGGTAGTGCGTACGGCCCAGTACATCACTGGGGCCAAGCTTCCTGCCATCCAGGACCTCTATACCAGGCGGTGTCAGAGGAAGGCCCTCAAAATTGTCAAAGACTCCAGCCACCCTACTCATAGACTGTTCTCTCTGCTACCGCACGGCAAGCGGTACCGGAGTGCCAAGTCTAGGTCCAAAAGACTTCTCAACAGCTTCTACCCCCAAGCCATAAGACTCCTGAACAGCTAATCATGGCTACCCGGACTATTTGCACTGCCCCCTACCCCCACCCCCAGATTTTTACGCTGCTGCTACTCTGTTAATTATTTATGCATAGTCACTTTAACTCTACCCACATGTACATATTACTTCAACTACCTCAACTAGCCGGTGCCCCCGCACATTGACTCTGCACCGGTACCCCCCTGTATACAGTGAGGGATAAAAGTATTTGATCCCCTGCTGATTTTGTACGTTTGCCCACTGACAAAGAAATGATCTGTCTATAATTTTAACGGTAGGTTTACTTGAACAGTGAGACAGAATAACAACAAAAAATTCCAGAAAAACGCATGTCAAAGATTTTATAAATTGATTTCCATTTTAATGAGGGAAATAAGTATTTTACCCCCTCTCAATCAGAAAGATTTCTGGCTCCCAGGTGTCTTTTATACAGGTAACGAGCTGAGATTAGGAGCACACTCTTAAAGGGAGTGCTCCTAATCTCAGCTTGTTACTTGTATAAAAGACACCTGTCCACAGAAGCAATCAATCAATCCGATTCCAAACTCTCCACCATGGCCAAGACCAAAGAGCTCTCCAAGGATGTCAGGGACAAAATTGTAGACCTACACAAGGCTGGAATGGGCTACAAGACCATCACCAAGCAGCTTGGTGAGAAGGTGACAACAGTTGATGCGATTATTCGCAAATGGAAGAAACACAAAATAACTGTCAATCTCCCTCGGCCTGGGGCTCCATGCAAGATCTCACCTCGTGGAGTTGCAATGATCATGAGAACGGTGAGGAATCAGCCCAGAACTACACAGGAGGATCTTGTCAATGATCTCAAGGCAGCTGGGACCATAATCACCAAGAAAACAATTGGGAACACACTACACCGTGAAGAACTGAAATCCTGCAGCGCCTGCAAGGTCCCCCTGCTCAAGAAAGCACATATACAAGCCCGTCTGAAGTTTGCCAATGAACATCTGAATGATTGGGTGAAAGTGTTGTGGTCAGATGAGACCAAAATGGAGCTCTTTGGCATCAACTCAACTCGCCGTGTTTGGAGGAGGAATGCTGCCTATGACCCCAAGAACACCATCCCCACCGTCAAACATGGAGGTGGAAACATTATGCTTTGGGGGTGTTTTTCTGCTAAGGGGACAGGACAACTGCACCGCATCAAAGGGACGATGGACAGGGCCATGTACCGTCAAATCTTGGGTGAGAACCTCCTTCCCTCAGCCAGGGCATTGAAAAAGGGTCGTGGATGGGTATTCCAGCATGACAATGACCCAAAACACACGGCCAAGGCAACAAAGGAGTGTCTCAAGAAGAAGCACATTAAGGTCCTAGAGTGGCCTAGCCAGTCACCAGAGCTTAATCCCATAGAAAATCTGAGGGAGCTGAAGGTTCGAGTTGCCAAACGTCAGTCTCGAAACCTTAATGACTTGGAGAAGATCTGCAAAGAGGAGTGGAACAAAATCCCTCCTGAGATGTGTGCAAACCTGGTGGCCAACTACAAGAAACGTCTGACCTCTGTGATTGCCAACAAGGGTTTTGCCACCAAGTACTAAGTCATGTTTTGCAGAGGGGTCAAATACTTATTTCCCTCATTAAAATGCAAATCAATTTATAACATTTTTGACATGTGTTTTTCTGGATTTTGTTGTTGTTATTCTGTCTCTCACTGTTCAAATAAACCTACCATTAAAATTAGACTGATCATGTCTTTGTCATTGGGCAAATGTACAACATCAGCAGGGGATCAACTACTTTTTTCCCTCACTGTATATAGCCTCCCTAATGTTATTTTATTTGACTTCTGCTCTTTTTTTCCCCCCTCAACACTGTTTTATTTTACTTTTTTTATTAAAAAGAAATGCACTGTTGGTTAAGGGCTGTAAGTAAGCATTTCACTGTAATATCTGCACCTGTTGTATTCGGCACATGTGGCCAATAAAATTTGATTTGAATGATATATAACAGGTTGAACACATGTCTGGTGCATCATCCGTCACGTATCCATTCTAAAAAGGGAACTGGTCTGCCAGAAGGTCTATCCACCAATTATATAAAAACATGCTTTTAAATCAGTTATTCCTCTAAAGATCTCCTAAAGCAATATACATTGAATATGCATGTGGTTTCAGTAGTTCTGCATCCTAACTGGCAGGTAGCATTTAATGACCATCAGGCTGTAAGAAATGAATTCAAAAATAACTTGGAACATCATTAAGATATGAGCCATTAATGACAAGAAAATCACCTCCTGTTTTATTTTATTGAAGATGCTTAGATTTCATTTGAACAAAAAATAAATCAAAAAGTAATCATTACTTTCCAAAACCAGCTAAGGACTGTATACTGCGTAATGCAGAGCTAGACATTGTGCACAGTTAGACAGGCTTTGGATGAATAAAAAAGCTGTATGTTACAAGTCTTCAACATTACACTACTACCTTATACCTCAACACTAGATTCAGAGAACACACCAGTATGCAACACACCCTCTTCGCATTGCTCCTATGTTTTAGGAACAATTAAAATCCAAAACGCAGACAATATAAAAATCTAATACAACAAATCGAGGTAAAATAAGTCCAGAAACCGGCGCGGCAGGACTGTCAAAAATGACTGGGGACTAGAGAAAGAATCCTTTGATTATTAAAAACCCACATTGTTCCAAGAAATACACTAAGGCAGTTTAATTTCCCTATCCTGCGGAATTCCATTTAAGGAAATCCACAACATTTCAGTTATGAAAATGTATTTATCAAAAGGAGAAACAGAACTAAGCATGACATGACAGCAGAACCAACTTTTTTAACGTCTTTTTTCCTTCCTATCAGACTTGCGATCCCTGTCACCGCGAGAGGACCTCTTCCCTGACCGGCAGCCCTCAGAGGTGGTCCTCTTCCTGTCAGACTTAGAGCCCTTGTCTTTGGAACCTTTGGATTCACGACCACTGCACTTGGATGACTTATGGCTCTTCTCACCTCCTCCCTTCTTCCTCTCCCTCTCGGACGGCTTCCTCCTATGCTTCTTGTCCTTCCTCCCCCGGCTGCGGCTCCTGCTAGATGAGCTGGAAGAGGAGCTGCCGCTGGAGGAGCTGCTCCTGCTGGAGGAGCCAGTAGAGGAGCCGGAGCTCCCGCTGGACGAGGAGCCAGAGGAGCTGCTAGAGGAGCTACTGCTGTTCCTGCCGCCACCACCACCATCTCCCTTATTGTCCTTTGACTTTTCACATCCCCTGCTTCTTTCCTCGCACAGAGGCTCCAGCACCTTGGGGGCAGCATCATCCTGGGCAGCCTGGAGATCAGTAGTCTGCTTCATGGCGCCTTGATCAGCCTCTTGGCTCTGCTCTGTTGTGAGAGGCTCAGGCTCTGTTCCAGCCTCCAGCAGGGGGATCTGAACCTCAGGGGCTATAGATCCTCCATCAGAGACTTCCACACTAGGGTTGGGCTCTGAGTGCAGGGGTATGGACACTTCTGTATGTGGCTCATCTTCGGTTGGTTGCATTTCGACGCTTTTCTCCTGGTCGTCTGACACAGCTGTGGGGTCCTGATTCTGAAGGCGCTTCTTTTCCTTTTCTACCTTAACCTGTTGCTGCGGTTCTTCTACTCTCTTCTCATTACCTACCTCTCCCCCAGCCATCACTGGACTATCCTCCATCTTCTTACCCTGATCCCCGACCTGCCACTCAGCCTCCCTCACCACTGCAGTAACCTCCATCTGCTCTTCCACCTCTCTGAACTCTACTATTCTAGTGTCTTGACCATTTTCCTCACTCTCCTCCCTCTTGTCTGCCTTATTCTCCCCCTTCTTAGGCTCCTGCTCCCTGACTTTCTCTCCTGGCTTTTTCTTTCTGTCCTCCTTACGCATTACACCCTCATCCCCCTCTTCCTTCTCTAGTGTTGCCTCATCCTCCATCTCCACATCAAACCGGTTACCTGTCACTTTGACTACCTGACCCGTGGGCTTACCCTCCTCTCGATCTTCTTTCTTCAGGTCCTTAACCAGAGCGTTGTCCCTCTGAGACTGGCGTCGAGGGCGAGCCTCCATCTTATTCAGATACTCGGCAAATGCCTCGCGTCTCTCCTCAAACATAACTGGAAACAGGAATAAAACAAAACGATTCAGTGACACCGACTCAATGCACACCAAGGATGTGTATTATTCCTACTTGTCGAGTGCAGAAGAATTTGGCTAATTGCACAATTGCTTACTATTCATTTTTTTCTGCGACTCGTCCAAGAGCTTCTGAGTGGCTGAGCACATCCTCCCAGGCAGATAGAAGATGGGTGGCTTGGTCTTTGTGCGGATGAACTTGACCATTTTTGTATTGTGCACATTCCACTCCTCTTGCTAGAACACAACATTTTTAATGAGCATGGAAAACACACAAAGGTTTAGTTTCACCTTAGTACAATGTTACTACAGGTTTAACATTTCCTTTGTTTTTTAAGACTACACCATAACCAATACGTTTCAAGTAAGGTCCTTACCAAGTAAGCAAGCTCCACTTTCTGTTCCAACAGTCTCAGCTCTGTCTGCTTGGCACGCCTCTCATCAAAGAGCTCTCGTCTTTCGCCCTCTACTTTCTTGCGTTCTTGTTCTGCTTGAACTTCCAATTTTTGTTCAATCTCAATGCGTTTCTTTTGCTGAGACAAGAGATAAAACATTTACTACGGGAAATTAATTTACCATTGGGAAATACTCCAAACTACATCCTAAATGGCTGGAATCATTTTCACCAAGCGTAACGCTAAGGCCAATTTTCATGCATTTACTGTATTAGAACAGCAGTGTTTAGAGTTTTATTGATGCACATATTGGAGTAAAGTGATATCCCTACCCGATCTGTTGCCACATTAGATTCCTGCTTAAATTTCTGTAATGTTCCCATCAACAGGCCAAACATGCGTCGATTCCTATAGGGAAAAAGAACAGAGCAAAAGCAATGAATATAATAATATAATAATATGCCATTTAGCAGACGCTTTTATCCAAAGCGACTTACAGTCATGCGTGCATACATTTTTGTGTATGGGTGGTCCCGGGGATCGAACCAACTACCTTGGCGTTACAAGCGCCGTGCTCTACCAGCTGAGCTACAGAGGACCACAATAATAGTATGAATAACATTTACATGATTTCTTGGAAATATAATAGTTAAAATAATTTCGCATTTTAGTTATTTAGCACACGCTCTTACCCAGAGCAACTTAGAGGAATTAGGGTAAAATGCCTTGCTCAAGGGCACAGAGATTTTGCGCCTAGTCGGCTCAGGGATTCGAACGAGCGACCTTTCGCTTACCTGCCGCCCACTTATTCCTTACGCATGTATAATGTTGCATTACCTTTGTTTTCCCCTCTCATCCATGGTCTGATCCTGAATCAGGTCTCGACGCGTACGTTCCTTGGAGGTAGCTACTACTGATGACTGCAACGCTGGCTGTGTATGGACAAAAGCAAGTGGGGCATTAGACAAAACATTGAGGGAAAAGATTAATTAAGACATTCAGTGTAGAATGATGTTTACCTTTTTGACATCGTCATCATCCTCAGCGTCACTGTCATGGCGTGAATCTCTCCTCGCTCGCTGGTCACCGGCCAGCCTATAAAATAAAAGACACGCAAAAGGACGACAAATACGTGATTTACGGACGACAAATACGTGATTTACCGGCCACATCAAATAGAAACCCATTTGAATACCACCAGGTGTAGGGTAATGCCTTAGTGCCCACTGCCGATTCATTGACACCACATGGAAGTGACTGCAATAAATATGGAAGGAGGAATGGCAGCCTACCAAGTGAACGTTGGCTTCTTGCACAATGCACATCTCCCTCCGTCTATTTGGGCTCTGTCTCGGCTTATTTTTTCACTTGTCTGTGCATCCATCTCTGGAACAGTAGCTAACTGATTTGCACAGATTTTTCAAGCCAACTACTCGACCAGGCATTAAAGGGAGAGAAGTGAAAATGACTTCATCTAAATACTCCTCAGAGGACATCTGGAAATTCTCTTTTAGGGATATTAATCCAGCAAAACATCCTAAAATACCAAAACACTTCACCCATGCGCGCATACAGCTTATGCTGTCATGGAGTTAATGGCACGTGAAAGTTCACGAGCCAGAACCAATTGGGCAGCAGGTAGCCTAGTGGTTAAGAGCGTTGGGCCAGTCATTTACAAAATAGCTTCCAACACTCTACTCAGCAAATTGGATGTAGTCTATCACAGTGCCATCCGTTTTGTCACCAAAGCCCCATATACTACCCACCATTGTGACCTGTACGCTCCCGTTGGCTGGCCCTCACTACATATTAGTCGCCAAACCCACTGGCTCCAGGTCATCTATAAAATCACTTCTAGGCAAATCCCTGCCTTATCTTAAATCATTGGTCACCATAGCAACACCCGCCCGTAGTATGCGTTCCAGCAGGTATATCTCACTGGTCATCCCAAAAGCCAACACCTCCTTTGGCCGTCATTCCTTCCAGTTCTCTGCTGCAAATGACTGGAACGAACTGCAAAAACCTCTGAAGCTGGAGACACTTATCTCCCTCACTATCTTTAAGCATCAGTTGTCAGAGCAGCTTACCGATCACTGCACCTGTACACAGCCCATCTGTAATTAGCTCACCCAACTACCTCATCCCCATATTGTTATTTACATTGTTATTTATTTTGCTCATTTGCACCCCAGTATCTCTATTTGCACATCATCTTCTGCACATCTATCACTCCAGTGTTTATACTAAATTGTAATTATTTTGCACTATGGCCTATTTATTGCCTTACCTCCATAACTTACTACATTTGCACACACTGTATATAGATTTTCTATTGTGTTATTGACTGTACGTTTTGTTTATTCCATATGTAACTGTTGTTGTTTTTATCACACTGCTTTGCTTTATCTTGGCCAGGTCGCAGTTGTAAATGAGAACTTGTTCTCAACTGGCTTACCTGGTTAAATAAAAAAATAAAAAGTTGGGGGTGGGCCTTTCCGCTTTTGTTCTCTATTGTTCCCCAAGCAAGGGGGAGGCTGATGACATCCCAAATCCCCACCCAACTCCTTGAAGTTTGCAGTGGTCTAACAAAATTCACTTTTGTGCAAAACACATTTGTTTTACCCTTTAGTGTGTACTTTACTGTATTTATACTAGGGATATCGCATTTCAAAAGGAAAAGTTCAAAAATCTCTTGAGGAAGTCTTTAACCATTAGGCCATGAGTAAATTCCCTCATTGGGCAGAGGGCAACAATGATTTTGAAGTTGCAGGCAGAGCCATCACGAGAACGGAGTGAGTACGACTCATCTTTGTAACATCTACAGCAGTAAATGGGCCAGGTCTGTAGATTATTCTAACCTCAGGAGGGCCCCTTCAATATCCCTCTGTTTAGCTGGGGGTCCTCCAGGTCCACCGCCGATGTCGGAGAGTCCACGTCTGTAGACAAATATAATTGTTACATAAAGCTCACATACAGGTATCACACCAACTGATGGAGAGTAAGGCAAAGTGTTTACCTTAACAAGTTGATTCCTCGCCCCCTACCTCCTCCAACGCCTGGGATGGTTGGCCTTCTAGCTTGGCCAGGTCTGTAAGGAAAGTAGAGATAATAGATACGTCATAGTTGGACCAGAGCTAGCTGTTAACGTCATGGCTGGAGATTGCTTTTAGAAAACGTAGCTAGCTAACGTTACATAGGGGTGTGTTCATCCATTTGGAATGGGGATAGACGCAATATTAAATCAGTGTGGCATAGTTAACTACCGTTACTTCTATTGTAACGTTACTCCGATAGGTCTGGACATGAAACTGAACCGTGTCAACTAATAGTCTTGGAAGGATCCTGCTTGATTCTGTAAGTAGAATTGTTTTAACTTGTAAACTGTGTTGGTTCTGTCTGTCTGTCATAGTAAGCTACCCAGTCTGCTTACGAAGCGATTGCTACCCATTCACACTGGACGCAGGTCCAGCCACTTCTTTTGTTCTCTGCAGATTACTCAATAGGAGGGTGATATGATGTTTTTATGGTATAATGATGTCATAGTATCGTGGGGAACAGGTTAGTTACTAGATAAATGGTTAGGAGACAGAGTCTACATTCCATTATGTCAAAGGAGATTACTGATGTTTAGGATAGCATGAGTGATGGGCAGGATTCTGACTTGGGGTAAAGAGTGATGAATATCAAAGACAGGGAGTGCCCATGGAGATTTACCAGATGTATGCCAAGAAGAGGGTAACAGAAGGCATATAAGGTAGAGTGTCTTCTTTGTTCAAGTTAGTTCGTAACACCAAGGGCAAAGCTCTGGTCATTGTTGTAACGAACCCGGTACCGATCATTAAACATTTGCATTAACTGTCTACAAAGTGTCTAAGTATATCCTTGCATCCTTGATTCTTTGATACCGGAGAAACTCATAACAGATGGGGAGTGGCTACACTTGTGCTAGGCAATTAGCTTAGTGTTATTAGCACAACCTCTTTGTTCAGCGGCAGCTGTCTCAAAAACGAAGACTGTCCCTGAAACAAAGACAGTTCTGCCAAGTTGTTCTGCGGGAGTTAGTCGAGGGAGGCCCCGCTCTCTCGCTTCCCGAGATGTTTAGTTAATTTCATTCCGATCACTTTTGCATTATTGTAGCCTTTTCTGTAGCCTGTCAACTATCTGTATGTCTATCCCTGTTCTTGCCTCTCTGCACAGGCCATGCAAATGCTTCACACCGTGTGGCTGCTACCACTCTAATCTGGTGGTCCCTGCGCGAACGACCCACGTGGAGTTCCAGGTCTCAGGCAGCCTCTGGAACTGCCGTTCTGCGGCCAACAAGGCAGAGTTCATCTCAGCCTATGCTACCCTCCAGTCTAGACTTCTTGGCGCTGACGAAAACATGGATTACCACAGAAAACACTGCTACTCCTACTGCTCTTTCCTCGTCTGATCATGTGATCTCACCCCTCATAAAACCTACACTCGATCCCTCCGATGTCAACAACTACAGACCAGTATCCCTTCTTTCTTTTCTCTCCAAAACTCTTGAGCGTGCCGTCGCTAGCCAACTCTCCTGCTATCTCTCTCAGAATGACCTTCTTGATCCTAACCAGTCAGGTTTCAAGACTGGTCATTCAACTGGGACTGCTCTTCTCTGTGTCACGGAGGCTCTCCGCACTGCCAAAGCTAACTCTCTCTCCTCTGCTCTTATCCTTCTAGACCCATCTGCTGCCTTTGATGCTGTGAACCATCAGATCCTCCTCTCCACCCTCTCCGAGTTGGGCATCTCCGGCGCTGCTCACTCTTGGATTGTGTCCTACCTGACAGGTCGCTCCTACCAGGTGGCGTGGCAAGAATCTGTCTCCGCACCACGTGCTCTCACCACTGGTGTCCCCCAGGGCTTAGTTCTAGGCCCTCTCCTATTCTCGCTATACACCAAGTCACTTGGCTCTGTCATATCCTCACATGGTCTCTCCTATCATTGCTACGCAGACGACACAATTAATTTTCTCCTTTCCCCCTTTTGAATACCAGGTGGCGAATCGCATCTCTGGCAGACATATCAATGTGGATGTCGGATCACCACCTCAAGCTGAACCTCGGCAAGACGGAGCTGCGCTTCCTCCCGGGGAAGGACTGCCCGCTCCATGATCTCACCATCACGGTTGACAACTCCATTGTGTCTACCTCCCAGAGTGCAAAGAACCTTGGCGTGACCCGATCCTGCAGGTTCATGCTCTACAACATTCACAGAGTACGACCCTACATTACACAGATAGCGGCACAGGTCCTAATCCAGGCACTTGTCATCTCCCGTCTGGATTACTGCAACTCACTGTTGGCTGGGCTCCCTGCCTGTGCCATTCTCTCACGTCACCCCGCTCCTCCACACACGCCACTGGCTTCCAGTTGAAGCTTGCATCTACTACACAACCATGGCGCTTGCCTACGGAGCTGTGAGGGGAACAGCACCTCCATACCTTCAGGCTCTGATCAGACCCTACACCCAAACGAGGGCACTACGTTCATCCACCTCTGGCCTGCTAGCCCCCCTACCTCTACGGAAGCACAGTTCCCGCTCAGCACAGTCAAAGCTATTTGCTGTTCTGGCGGAACAAGCTCCCCCATGACGCCAGGACAGCGGCGTCACTGACCACCTTCTGGAGACACTTGAAACCCTACCTCTAAGGAATACCTGGAATAGTATAATTGTAATCATTCTACCCCCCTTTACTACCATTGTCTTTGGTCTAAACTAACACCTGACATTTCACCGGCTAGTACTGACTTGTTTAAAGAAATGTACTTATTGTGATCGAGATGTAGTTGTCCCTGATTGCACTGACTTTGCTCACAGCTACTTGTTTGAAGAAGTGTACTTACTGTGATCAAGATGTGGTTGTCCCACTGGCAATCCTAAATTGAATGCACCAATTTGTAAGTCGCTCTGGATAAGAGCGTCTGCTAAATGACTTAAATGTAAATGTAAACCGAAACTAGCCAACTCGTGGCTAGTAACGTTATTAATTAGCAAGCTAAGTTAGTTTGCGAATAAACGAGTCTGACAAACTGAGTAAATTAGCTTACTAACAGAAAAGTAATAATAACCTTACTAGCTCGCTAACGTTACTTCGCCAGGTCAACAATAATGAATGGGCAATGGCAAAACCACCCAGCTGCCACCTACCGGTAAGTAAAAACTCTAGTAAGCTATTTAAAGTATATGTACTTCCATTTAGCTAGCCAGCCTAGCACGACAAGGTCGATTCGATTATACAGCACGCACGCACCCAAGCGGCTAACTGGTTGTGCACGAGAATGGGAGATGCCATTTTTTTTCATGGGATAGGCGTATATTGCTAGCTAGCTAACGTTAGTTAGACGAATGAATGCTGACAAATAGAATACAGTGTTGCGTTTTAAAATAAAATTAGTGTCTTACCTCAATTCATTAGGATCCCGGCCAGTTAATTTACGAATATTATCGTCAACATTTTTCAAACTCTCTTTAGCTTTCTCAAGCTGGGCTTGCAAAGACCCCACTGCCACCGCCATCTTAGCTAACTAACCAGCTTTCCTCCCATGCAACCAGTATTGGTCGCTCACCGCAATGCATCATGGGGGGTTGATAAGCGTTTCACTGCCTTGATTGACAACTCAAATGCCCAATCGGCACCTTCATTAGCGTAGCTAAACGCACACGGCCATTAATTTTGGGTTAGTGCTATCCAGAATCCTTGGGACGTTCTTTACATAAAACCAAACCTTCCTTAAACCCTACCATAACCATTTTAAATTTCAACTTCAATGGGGTAGGGACGTCCCAAGGATTCCGGAAAGCAATGACCATAAATGTGAGCATTCTCCAATCACCACATGTCCAGTATTTTCTTGATGATAATCAATATAATGAATTATAATGATGTTCATTGGGCTGAATCGTTTTGCATGGCCCGGTGCCCCGGGTAGGCGGAGTTTGTACATTTTAGACCCTTCCATTGGTCCTTAAGTTAAATCTCAACCCGGGCACCGGGCCATGCAAAACGAACACGCCCATTGATGATGACTAGGTCCTGTGTTTTGTTTAATCATGTCACATGACCTTGATTTGAAGTTTTTCATCAAACTGTCCCGTTTTCTTTTTGTCAGCAGCACCATCCTCAGACAATTGCTTTTATTTTTGGTCTAATTCTCATTTCTGTAAAATACTTAAAATAAAGGCTATAATTCAGGTCATGTCACATGATTAACCAAAACACAGGGCCCTAATGATGACAAATAATAATAGTAATTTGGTTGTTTTGATCCTAAAGTTACACCACAGAAAAGTGGTGCTTAAAACATCTGGTTACTAAAACACTTTCAGAATAAAGGATTGATGTGTATGTCTGATGTCTTTATGGCATTACAGTTTTTCTTTATGGTACATAGCAGTGGTGGGCTTGTAAAGATGAAAACACAACAATTGTGAAAGCAAACATTTTATTTAATTCCAGCAATAGCAGAAGTTGAAAACAACCTATAATAGAAAAAAAAAGAAAATTTCACCATTTATTGGGCACATTTTCTTCACAAGACTCAATGGTTGCTTAGTATGAAAAGGCTTCAAATTGCCACAGAGCAACTTTCCGTGGATCCCAAATCTGAGCATGGTGATGGGTTCATAGAGCTACAGTTCATGCTGTGACCAGTTTCAGTTTCACATTATCCCGTTTAGTCCTCCTTATCGGCCAAGTCGTTCTGATCAAAGTACCTATGTAAAAAAATATATATATATGTTTTATTAAGAATCAAACGACAATGTTTCCTGGCTGTGAGTGTTTGTGAAGTCAAATAACAAAGCTTACCTAGCAACAAGGCAGATCATCAAGTTTAGAGGAGACAACCTTTCATCTTCCTGGCTTTCCTGTAATGGGAAAGAAAGAAAAAAACAAAGAATGAATATCATACCCTGTTCATCATTATCAAATGTTTCAGAATCTAATATATTTTAAATTTTTTATTTTACCCATAAGGAAGTTGGTTTGCAACCTCATCTCAACATCCATTAATACCAGCCACTATATCACCCTACCAGATTGGCCCGCACTTCAGAACTCCGTCTGGCCAGCTGTCTTATTAGGGAATGTGCTTCAGGGAGAAGAGGTTTCTCAAGGCAAGCCAGCAGTGCATACAGCCATCTTCCCTAGAGATGTTGAACACATATTAGCCATGAAAGCATCGGGTTGGGGTCAATTCCATTTAAATTCCAGTCAATTTAGGAATTAAACTGAAATTCAAATTTCAATTCCAAATTCTCTTCAATGCTTTTTAATTAGGAAAATGTGGAATTGGGTTTACTTTCTGAATTGACTGGAATATAAATGAAATTGACCCCAACCCTGGAAAGCATAAAAAATGTCAAACTGTGTTGATGATGTTTAAGAAACTGAACTTACCAACTGTGGGACAAACTCTCTCTCTTCAAACCAGTTTATCAAGTACTCCAAAACTGCAGAGACTGTGGCCTAGTAGGGAAGATATAATTGAGTTTTGGCTATGATTATAGAAAAAAAGTGTGTCAAACAAGAGTACCGTTGTTGAGGTCATGAAAAAAAGCATCAATTGATGAGAGATGAGTGCAGTGAGTGTCATGCCAATGTTTTGCAAACACTCACCTGATTTAATCTGCTCACTATGCTAAGGAAAGGTGGAAAACCAACCTGGTGAAACAAGTGGGTAAACATCAGACACATGTTAATGGCAAAATCTTTATACAAAAATCTTACATGATGTATATTCTCTATGGTCAGATATTTCCTCTATAACAGGGGTTCTTAAAGGTTAACTCTCAACCCCAATTTCAGCCTTTGCCCAACCCCTTCAAAAAAAAAAATGCATTCAAGTGAGAAGTTGTGGGTGGGGGGGAATTGCTTGTATAAATTCATTTTTGGAGTGGGTAAACAGTTGTACCTGAGCGCAACACTTTCTCACTAAAGCATAATAATTACATTATGTGCATGCAGAATATAATGAATGGCTCTGGACAGTTAGTTTACAGCGTTAAGGCACTAAATTCCAGACATCTATTGCCACTTGTGGTGTAAGTTAAAATCCCCCAAGGGGTGGCAATTGTTTTTGTTGAAATGTGAACTCACATTTATTGCGGTATTGTGTTGGGAAGAAAAGTGCAATCATCACCTGAAAAATGAAAATGTGGGTCTCGATTCAATCCAACCAGCATTGCAGTAGATATTTTTCCAACAGTAAAATGAACTCCCAGATTGGTCTTGGGTACTGTATAAAAACCTACAACTACTACCAGGGCGACCCCTCTCACAGGTATGCTTTCACGTTTCTGAATTAGAAGTGTGTGTGTGTGTGTGGGAAAGGAATGAATATTGTAAATAAAGCATACGAAGAAAAAAAAGAAAAGATATCTGCCCCATGTGGGATTAGAACTCACAACTATTGAACTAAGAGCCAACTGTGTCATAGCAGACTGCACCACCAATCAGTCATCACCATTGTAGAAAAAAACTAATACTTTGACATGACCACCACGGTCATCTATTTCTTGTTACCATGGATGTAGTCACAAATATAAAATGTACAGTTGAAGTCGGAAGTTTACATACACCTTAGCCAAATACATTTAAACTCAGTTTTTCACAATTTCTGACATTTAATCATAGTAAAAATTCCCTGTCTTAGGTCAGTTAGGATCACCACTTTATTTTAAGAATGTGAAATGTCAGAATAATAGTTGAGAGAATGATTTATTTCAGCTTTTATTTCTTTCATCACATTCCCAGTGGGTCAGAAGTTTACATACACTCAATTAGTATTTGGTAACATTGCCTTTAAAATTGTTTAACTTGAGTCAAATGTTTCAGATAGCCTTCCACAATAAGTTGGGTGAATTTTGGCCCATTCCTCCTGACAGAGCTGGTGTAACTGAGTCAGGTTTGTAGGCCTCCTTGCTCGCACACGCTTTTTCAGTTCTGCCCACACATTTTCTATAGGATTGAGGTCAGGGCTTTATGGATGGCCACTCCAATACCTTGACTTTGTTGTCCTTAAGCCATTTTGCCACAACTTTGGAAGTATGCTTGGGGTCATTGTCCATTTGGAAGAGCCATTTGCGACCAAGCTTTAACTTCCTGACTGATGTCTTGAGATGTTGCTTCAATATATCCACATAATTTTCCTTCCTCATGATGCCATCTATTTTGTGAGGTGCACCAGTCCCTCCTGCAGCAAAGCACCCACACAGCATGATGCTGCCACCCCTGTGCTTCACGGTTGTGATGGTGTTCTCCGGCTTGCAAGCTCCCCCCTTTTCCTCCAGACTTAACGATGTTCATTATGGCCAAACAGTTATATTTTTGTTTCATCAGACCAGAGGACATTTCTCCAAAAAGTACGATCTTTGTCCCCATGTGCAGTTGCAAACTGTAGTCTGGCTTTTTTATGGCGGTTTTGGAGCAGTGGCTTCTTCCTTGCTGAGCGGCCTTTCAGGTTATGTCGATATAGGACTCGTTTTAGTGTGGATATAGATACATTTGTACCTGTTTCCTCCAGCATCTTCACAAGGTCCTTTTCTGTTGTTCTGGGATTGATTTGCACTTTTCGCACCAAAGTACGTTCATCTCTAGGAGACAGAACGCGTCTCCTTCCTGAGCGGTATGACGGCTGCGTGGTCCCATGGTGTTTATACTTGCGTACTATTGTTTGTACAGATGAACGTGGTACCTTCAGGCGTTTGGAAATTGCTCCCAAGGATGAACCAGACTTGTGGAGGTCTACAATGTCTTTTCTGAGGTCTTGGCTGATTTCTTTAGATTTTCCCATGATGTCAAGCAAAGAGGCATTGAGTTTGAAGGTAGGCCTTGAAATACATCCACAAGTACACCTCCAATTGACTCAAATGATGTCAATTAGCCTATCAGAAGCTTCTAAAGCCATGACATCATTTTCTGGAATTTTCCAAGCTGTTTAAAGGCACAGTCAACTTAGTGCATGTAAACTTCTGACCCACTGGAATTGTGAAACAGTGAATTATAAGTGAAATAATCTGTCTGTAATCAATTGTTGGAAAAATTATTTGTATCATGCACAAAGTAGATGTCCTAACCGACTTGCCAAAACAATAGTTTGTTAACAAGAAATTTGTGGAGTGGTTGAAAAACTAGTTTTAATGACTCCAACCTAAGTGTATGTAAACTTCCGACTTCAACTGTATAATCCTCATAGCCTAAATGTTTTTTTTTTCTTAGTAAAAGCACAGATGTGTATGAAACGATAAGCAAAAACGTTGAATTTGGTCATGTGCGGAAATGTGCCTTACTGCATTTTGAATTTTGTGTAAGGTCAGTGGTTTAGTCAAGGAAGTAGCATTCAAAATATATTGGCACAGTCCACTTAGCAAGACCATTGCCAAATAAGGTGAGCTGTCACCTACTTTTATAGTAAGCCTTGAGGTGGTACCACCCAGCACATCTAGAAGGGATTGTATTTCATACCGAACCCCTCCCTTGAGATGACGTAGAGGCACCTTGTCAAGGTGCCTCTACATCAAGATTTCAATGGTAGAGTTGAACCGCTAGGGGGAAAGAGCTAGATTTACTACTAAAATATCAAAATATATCACTTTTGCAACAAACTGTCAAAATGAAGACAATAAATGACAATTCACTATAACTAACCCTGAAACATCTGATTTTCGATTAAATAAATGTTTTTTCATTAAAGTTACTCTTTAAACTATTTCAGCTCGTGACCCAAATGAGAAATGTACCATCATCCCGTCACCCAGATTGTCCTCCAATGACCCAAATTAACTATAGATGTATTCTCATAACTCGCGACCCACTGCTCACATGCCCAGGGCCCGCTTAGGGTCCGGACCCATAGTTTAAGAAACCCTGGTCTATAAGGTTACCTTCACATAATCAAGGCCTCGATCTTCAGCACCAGGGTCAATTGGAGGGGAGTTCAGATAAACATTTTCACCCAGGCAGAACTTTTTCCATTGTTCCTCCGAGTCCTGTTTTGGCTGGAGATAGACAAAACACAGTTAGAGAGGGTATGTTGTATTTTACAATTCACTTTTACCAACAACAAAAAATCTCATACTTATGTGGGGATCTATTCTCTTACAACTAGATGTGATGCCTAGCTTAGAAATAATACATGAATGATTAAACATAATAGGTTTGTGCTGTACTGATATAGATTGTTTAACATAACAAGCTGTGATTAATGTGAGGAACCGTTAGGGGGGAGGCTGAGATAGACTGAGATACACACACACACACACACTGCCTCTTTGTTAAACTGCTCAAGGACATGTGTACTGCTACAATGAAGAAGTGCTGACTTTCTAGACAAGTTGCAGAAACAACTAACACCTGGCAACAGTGAAGCGCCAAGGGGCTGGGACCAGCCTGTGCGCCATCGATAGGTTGGGTAAGTTTAAACCACACCCAGCCTCTACTCTGACAGGCCCAGCCTGGAGCAGGAACTATCTCTGTCAGAGTATTAAAGAAGAACCTTGGGTTGAAAAAGTTAGTTCTCTGTCTGCCCTGCGTGGTGTTTCAGTGGGCCCGTATATACGAACATCATATTTACCATTCAAGTGCTTGCATTAATTAAAATACTAGTATATCTTAGAAGACGTGTATTGACCCCTTTTTGTTCCTATACCAGATTTGAATTGACTCAACTTGACACTTACCATTAACACATTGTCATCCAAAGCATGACCACTCCAGTGTTGTCTGTGTTTACTGATACTCTGCAAGTAGTAAAACATGATCAGAATAACTCACTTCAACCCAACATGACAAATAACTTGAAACGTATAGGGGATAATACAATCTATAGTTACCTGTCTTATTTCTGAGAAGTTGCTGACTTGCTGTCGCTGCCATTTTAAACTCGGTGAAAATCCTTGTGGAGCAGCTTGGCAACCTGTGAGCTACCAAATAGAAGAGTTGACAGGAAATGATACTTACATAGAGCCAGTCTCTGTCTACATGTTATTTGTGGCAGTGGCGTCTATGGTGAAACTTACCGACACGTTCACTGACTGTTTCTTTCTCAATTTCTTTGGATCAATCTTCGCCACCACAACATCTGGACAGAGAGACGCCTCTAATCTGAAAAAAGAGAAAGGCAGTGTATTTTTTACTTACATGAATGCGTGTTTCCTGTGCACATGCGTGAAAACTATGAAAAGACATAGAGCTATGAGAGACTTACTGAACCTGTCTCAAATACTCCTGGGGATTTCTTGGAGGCTCGTTTAGTTTGAAGTCTTCGCCAGTGTCGCATGTTTCCACAGGCAGAAGCCTGGGCATCAGTTCCTCCACGTCGGATTTCATGCTGAAGCTCCAAACTATATGATCAGTGTCGGACTAGTATAATGTTAGATTAACAGGCAACTAATGACACTTGCATTTACTACTGTACTTCTGTTATCACGTTGTAAAGGTTGTTTTGTTGGATAAGGACACAAGTCTCACATCAAAATAAATGTTGACGCCATCTTGTTTGAAGTGTGAATCATGACGCATTTAGAATGTTCCCGTTGCCATGGCAATTTAAAGATAACGCTACATGTGTATTTTGGCATTCCAAATGCCACAGGTCAAAGTCTACAATATAATTTTCCACGCGTTGCTTTCCAACATAATCACCAATAACACATTTTTTTCTAACACAAAATATACTATGGCATAATTACTGTTCAAATAATTCAAATCACTTTAAGGGAGATACTTCTCCAATAAACATTGATTTTTTGTATTGCTTATAGATCAGCCTTTGCCTTGGTAAATTAAATCGTTCTTGTTGCAAGCACTGTTGCCACGTTAATCATTACTCCTCAGTTACCTTGTATCTTGATTCCCTCCTCATTTAGCCATTGAAACATGTGTACTTGTTGACATGTGACAGCAACAACTTGAAGGCAATGTCCATTTGGCACAATGGAATTCAATGCAACATGACTGTTCAGCTTGGAGCACTGTTTTACCAAATATTTTTTTAACTACCCGGTTTCACTGTGGACCATTCTACATGACTGGACTTTCCAACATCAATATGGCTACTTCACAGATATACATTTGGACATTTACTATTTTCATTTTTCCAACTATAACTTGGGGATTGCTGTCTGACTTCAAAATTTGTGGAGACTCTGAGTGTGAAAGTAAGTAGACAACAAGAAAATAAATAAATGGTTAGGCTATGTGCAGCACATATTACACATTCATTATTACTATCCTGTCCTCTAAAGTTTGAGTTCCTACGATGACCTTATGTGGCTTTTGTGTGTATAGGCTTGCTGAGTCGGGTCAGGGCCACAAGAGATCACCAGGGAAAGGATTGTAGATTCCTGAACTTCAAAAAAGGGGATGTGATATTTGTTTACCACAAACTCTCTGGCAAAAGAGATGATCTATGGGCAGGAAGTGTAAGTGTTTTTTTTTGTAACTGAAATTACATTGAATAACATATTTTGTTGTATGTTTGTTATGCAATAATGTTTTGTGCCCTATGCTGTATTCCAGATTGACAGACGATTTGGTTATTTCCCAAAAGATGCTGTGAAAGTTGATGAAATTCATGCAAAAACAGAGAAAGAAGTGGCCACACAGGTAACCTTTCCACTTTATTACTCTATGAATTTCAGTTTTAGGCCTACTGAATGTATGGTTATACATGTGTATTGAATGGTAAATAAGCAGTGCTTTAAATATCTTTGCTAAACACATTCTGTTCATTAAAGCTACTCTTATGTTCCTTTTAGAAACATGACTTCTTCTGCATAGATGAGTATGGCTCATTAATTGATCATGACTCCAGTGAGTGGGACAATGAAGAAAATCTAGTTTCAGAATTTCAAGAAATCGCCACCAATGATGCTCAGGATTCTAAAACTTCCAAAGATGCCTTTCTGTCCCAAAGTTTCGCACAGAGCAGTGATGAAACCGGAAACAAAGATGCCAATCAGGCCGGAATGGAAGACTTCTCTGACAATACCAAACCTGCCCCTAGCGAACAAGGTGGGTCTCAGTGGATTGGCTCTACAGTAACTGGATGGCTTAGTTTAGGTGGTGAAAACCCTGATGATAATCCCAAAGAAGACAACCCAGAACAAGAGTCTTTCAGGAGCAGGAAACTTGCTTTGGACATTGATGGGAACCAGTTGGAAAAAGAGACGAAAAAGACTGACAATTCTGGCTGGTTTGGAGATGGACTGACTAGCGCCTTCGGTTTTGGTCAAAAAGCTCCAGAGGAGGAGAAGCCCATTGAAAAGGAAGTGGAAGAGCAACCCCCACCCTCTAACTCCTGGTTGAATATTGGCATTAGAGATGTCTTACATTTTGGTCAATCTAATCAGGATAAAGTTGAAGAGAGAGTAGAAGCAGCAGGCAGAGATGAAACGACAGGCACAACAGACCCACAGGACCTTGACTCAAGTCAGTCTCATCATGATGCCACATTGGAGCAAATAAAAGAAACAGAGCACCAGAGAGATGATAACACTGGTAAGGAGGCAGAGAGAACAGATACACACCCCTCAAAACCTATTGATGATTATAACCACGGCCAAGAGGACCGTCATAGTCAGGAAGAAGATGGTGAGTTAAGAAAAGAGGAAGATGCAGGGTGGTATGGCAGCATCTATCACAATATTGCAGGCCTTTATGGGGAACAGGGTGGTGATGAGGAGGACGAGGATATACTTATAGCTGAGGATAGAGAGGATAAAGATATCAGCCTTCAGTCAGAAACAGAGTCACAGTCTGTATTCTCATCCATGTTTGACACTCTAGCATCACAGTTTCAGGCCGATAACCCTAACGATTATAAAAACGCCCAAACTGATGAGCTAACAGATATAAAACCGGCAGATGCAGATACAGAGATCTCCCTTACTTCTCAGATGGTTATCCCATATGATTCTACTGAGGTTTCTGTAGGTAGGAAGGATGATAATGATGGTAATGACAGCAATGAGGCTCCACATCCCCCTCCATTAGATGTGGATACGGTTCAGAGTGCTAATGAAATACTGGAGGCATTCAAACAGCCACTTCAAACTAGCAAGTATATGTCTTTGTCCCACGACCCTCAATTACAGGACACAACCGGAATAGTGAATCTTGAAGTTGGTCCTGAAAAAACTATAGCTGAGATGGAAGTTGTTGATCAAGAGGAATTTCCCTCCTCTGATCATTCCAAGGAGTGGCACGTTGAGACCGATCCTATAGATAACATAGGTTTGATAAACATTATCCTTGACCCGGTGTTAGACTCAACTATACTAAATGCTGACACTACAAGTAACAATCTTCTATCTGATAAAGGTAATGATGGGGAAAGTAATATCGTGGACAAAGCATCTGTGGTAGAGGAAGCAGATTCAACTAAAGAAGTTACTGAGACAGAGTGGATAGAACCAGGGAAAATAATTAAAGTTGAGAGAGACCATGGGGATCAAGCTACTCTCTCTACACATGTCTTTGAAAATACACAGAGCAGTTCCGGACCTGATGCTAAAATCGAAATGTATCCTGACAGCTCAGATCTAGTTCCCCCTGAGATAGTAACAGGAAATGAACAAAGACAGACAGAAATCCTTGAGGAGGCAGACACAGAAAACATGTCAGTGGAAGATTTCATTCATGTCCACAAGGAGTCCCATGAATCTCAAAAAGACAGTGATGAGAAACACATCCTGAATGATAGATCTGGGATGATGGATGACCAGAAGACAGCAATTGAGGACAATAATCTGCCGCTAGATGACAGAAATCAGACAGATGACAGTAATGAAATACTGGAGGCATTCAAACAGCTACTTCAAACTAGCAAGTATATGTCTTTGTCCCACGACCCTCAATTACAGGACACAACCAGAATAGTGAATCTTGAAGTTGATCCTGAAAAAACTATAGCTGAGATCAGGGAAAATGATGAGCACGATTCTGCAGGTAGATTAAAGCTAGATGATATCACTACTAATGAACCTGTCAGTTCCCACGGAGATGTAGAGCCAAACCAATTAGTGTCGGACCCCAAACCAGACAATGAGGAGGACGTACAAATATCAACTGTGCTCCCCGATGGGCTTTTGCATGCTAATGATGAGGATGCCCTTAATCACCATCAAGAGAGTCCTGCTGCTGACCTTGCTGAAAATAGCCTGGATGATGTTGAGACTGTTCATTCAGTTGGTCGGGATGTTTTAGAAGGCTCAGGGATTCCAAATCTCTCTGATTCGATTCCTATTCAGACAAAAGCGGAAACACTGACAGAGGAGCTACCTGATGTATCGGAGGATACGTCTGTAATGCATACTGAGGTGGAGGACAATGATATTGTCACTACAGGTATTGAAGTGGTATCCTCCAATCAGAAAGGAGACGACAGTATTCAAGTGCCTCAGAGCCCAGCAGAAAAGGACAGTGGGGACAGAGTAGGGATGCTAAATGGTCAGACAAGCATGCCAGGTACAGAGGATGCTTCAGTGCTGGAGGAGGTCACACAGACACCTGACCCCCATCTGCATGATGCTCAGGAGCCTCACATAGCTGAACCTATCCTGAACCTATCGCTAGTTGAACCTGTCATAGTTGATCCAGTCATTGAAAATGTATCAGGGGTGGAGGGACATAATTTGATTACCACAAGTGAGGATGGGGAAAGTAAGGACAAGAATGAGAATACATTAGAGGTACCAGATAAGAATGTTCATGTTGAAGACATAGATTCAGTTTTGCTGAAAGACTCGTTATCTTCTAACTATGAGGAAAGTAATTCCAATGTAATGGAAGTTGTTGATCAAGAGGAATTTCCCTCCTCTGATCATTCCAAGGAGTGGCACGTTGAGGCCGATCCTATAGAGAACATAGGTTTGATAAACATTACCCTTGACCCAGTGTTAGCCTCAACTATACTAAATGCTGACACTACAAGTAACACTCTTCTATCTGATAAAGGTAATGATGGGGAAAGTAATATCGTGGACAAAGCATCTGAGGTAGAGGAAGCAGATTCAACTAATGAAGTTACTGAGACAGAGGGGATAGAACCAGGGAAAATAGTTGAAGTTGAGAGAGACCATGGGGATCAAGCTACTCTCCCTACACATGTTTTTGAAAATACACAGAGCAGTTCCGGACCTGATGCTAAAATCGAAATGTATCCTGACAGCTCAGAGCTAGTTCCCCCTGAGACAGTAATAAGAAATGAACAACGACAGACAGAAATCCTTGAGGATGCAGACACAGAAAACATGTCAGTGGAAGATGTCATTCATGTCCACAGGGAGTCCCATGAATCTCAAAAAGACAGTGATGAGAAACACATCCTGAATGATAGATCTGGGATGACGCGTGACCAGACGAAAGCAATTGAGGACAATAATCTTCCGCTAGATGACAGGAATCACATCTCATCAGTCAGTAGCCAGGAAGTACATTCAAAAGGGACCAAAGGATTGTATAATGAGATCACTCTAGAAAACGAGAGAGCACAGGAATTAGGCCTACAGGATAGTGAAACCAATGATGGACGAAATAGCTTTGATCAGTTGCATGCAGTTAGTCAGCTTTCCCCCACTGATGAAGCTTATAATGTCATTACTCAGTCAGAGAGAACAGTAGACCATGATACATTGTATTCAGGTGAGAATTTCCTCTCAGACAGTCGGTCTAATTATCAAGAAGCAACAGATGTAAAGAGCACAATTAGAGATGAAGATAGGCAGCAGGATTTTGAAAACGTGGACGTGATTGAGAAGGATGATTTTGAGAAAATCTATAATCGGGATAATGAATCTATTCACAATGTTGAAAGAGAGGGTGAGACTTCAACTTCTCACAGTGAACCCCCTTGAAAGTCAAGACATGCCCTCTGACCAGTATTCAGTAGAGCCCCCTCAAGAGGAAATCACAGACACATCAGTCAACAAGGGTGCTAGGAGTTTCTTTGAAAATGCTATGGACTTTTTGATCCCAAGCACTGTCTCCAAAGACTTAGAAGACCCAGAACCAAAGGGGAAAGAAGAGGAGGAACAAGAACCCCCACCTGATCTTCCTGACCTGGACCTCCATGAACCAGAACCACAGTCTCAGTCAACCTCAGTAGCAGAATCGCTGAAAGCTACAGCGTTTTTGAAAGACTACAAGAATATCCAAAAGCACATCAGTGCAGATGAAATAACTACTTTGTTGGACTTGTTTGGGAAGCACAAATTCCTGTGGCTTGACTACAGCCTAGGAAGCTCAGAGACTTTGACTGATGGCCAAGATGGTGATAATGACCTAGCTATTCTATCAGACTTTGAAAGGCTCCTGCAGTATCACATTGATGAGACAAAAACTCCATCTGGTGGAGTTCTGGAGGATGAAGACCAATCCAGAAAATTTGTGTCATTACGAAAACTAGAAATATTCTTGTCAAACATAAAAAACAGATTCACCCCAGTGAAAGCACCTGTCAGTATAAAAGACAATCAAGGTACTACTCATGTAGTATGAGAAACATTTATTGATTTTGGTTGCATGTCTCTTGCATGTCTCTTGCATGTCAATATTGAAAAGGTTAGCAGTTGTCAAAGTGTTAAATCTGACAACTGTTTATTGACAAGGTCATACATGTTTTTAAAATGATTTGGTGTCATAATGTCTATATGTTATCCAGCAGAAACAGACAGGACAAACTGCATCAATGATGATTGTTTCACTCGCAATGAAAACGAAGACCTAACCAACCTGAAAGGAGAACAGATTTCTGGGGAGGGAGACATCCAAACCCCAACACTAACAGACAAATGTAATGCATTTATGCCCATTCTTAAAAATAACATACTAATTATATAAATGAAAATGGTTCCATCTGAGGCTGGCAAAAATGTATGATCAATTATTATGACATTCACTATTGTGTTATTTATACCTTTTAAATATATTTGACAGATAAACCTGAGCCTGCAGTGATGGAATATCTTTTCTCTTCTGCACGTCAAGTCACTGGTGATGCTGTTGCTCAAATGCTGACTGTTAAGGCTCTTCTAAAATGGCTCACTGTACAGGTAAGAAAGTTATATGACTACTACATCCCCCTTGAAATCTATTGAGATTAAATTAGCTAAGCAGCCCATACATTTAAAATGATTGGACTGCACTATGGATGTGTCAATGGACTGCACTATGGATGCCTCCTTCATCCTCAATAGAATAGAATATAATATAATATTTTTCCAAGAGACGGAACTTCGGTTGTGGTATTGGACTAAGACAAATACACTGCTCAAAAAAATAAAGGGAACACTTAAACAACACAATGTAACTCCAAGTCAATCACACTTCTGTGAAATCAAACTGTCCACTTAGGAAGCAACACTGATTGACAATACATTTCACATGCTGTTGTGCAAATGGAATAGACAACAGGTGGAAATTATAGGCAATTAGCAAGACACCCCCAATAAAGGACTGGTTTTGCAGGTGGTGACCACAGACCACTTCTCAGTTCCTATGCTTCCTGGCTGATGTTTTGGTCACTTTTGAATGCTGTCGGTGCTTTCACTCTAGTGGTAGCATCAGACGGAGTCTACAACCCACACAAGTGGCTCAGGTAGTGCAGCTCATCCAGGATGGCACATCAATGCGAGCTGTGGCAAGAAGGTTTGCTATGTCTGTCAGCGTAGTGTCCAGAGCATGGAGGCGCTACCAGGAGACAGGCCAGTACATCAGGAGACGTGGAGGAGGCCGTAGGAGGGCAACAACCCAGCAGCAGGACTGCTACCTCCGCCTTTGTGCAAGGAGGAGCAGGAGGAGCACTGCCAGAGCCCTGCAAAATGACCTCCAGCAGGCCACAAATGTGCATGTGTCTGCTCAAACGGTCAGAAACAGACTCCATGAGGGTGGTATGAGGGCCCGATGTCCACAGGTGGGGGTTGTGCTTACAGCTCAACACCGTGCAGAACGTTTGGCATTTGCCAGAGAACACCAAGATTGGCAAATTCGCCACTGGCGCCCTGTGCTCTTCACAGATGAAAGCAGGTTCACACTGAGCACATGTGACAGACGTGACAGAGTCTGGAGACGCCGTGGAGAACGTTCTGCTGCCTGCAACATCCTCCAGCATGACCGGTTTGGCGGTGGGTCAGTCATGGTGTGGGGTGTCATTTCTTTAGGGGGCCGCACAGCCCTCCATGTGCTCGCCAGAGGTAGCCTGACTGCCATTAGGTACCGAGATGAGATCCTCAGACCCCTTGTGAGACCATATGCTGGTGCGGTTGGCCCTGGCTTCCTCCTAATGCAAGACAATGCTAGACCTCATGTGGCTGGAGTGTGTCAGCAGTTCCTGCAAGAGGAAGGCATTGATGCTATGGACTGGCCCGCCCGTTCCCCAGACCTGAATCCAATTGAGCACATCTGGGACATCATGTCTCGCTCCATCCACCAACGCCACGTTGCACCACAGACTGTCCAGGAGTTGGCGGATGCTTTAGTCCAGGTCTGGGAGGAGATCCCTCAGGAGACCATCCGCCACCTCATCAGGAGCATGCCCAGTCATACAGGCATGTGGAGGCCACACACACTACTGAGCCTCATTTTGTCTTGTTTTAAGGACATTACATCAAAGTTGGATCAGCCTGTAGTGTGGTTTTCCACTTTAATTTTGAGGGTGACTCCAAATCCAGACCTCCATGGGGTTGATAAATTTGATTTCCATTGATAATTTTTGTGTGATTTTGTTGTCAGCACATTCAACTATGTAAAGAAAAAAGTATTTAATAAGATTATTTCATTCATTCAGATCTAGGATGTGTTATTTTAGTGTTCCCTTTATTTTTTTGAGCAGTGTACATAACAGCACAGTACACACATGACAATAATCATTGACTAGATAGCTGAAAAAGCTGGTCCTTTAAAACCTCTGGTATGTGTCTCTGGTATGCAACATGTCATCTGCACTGCCCCTATGCGTCATCCAACACTTTGAGGAGTTGTAGTTGGCTCTGGCTTCGGTGACAAGGCTATTCCCTGCACTGTGGTAGTGCAATAACATGAGGACTTTAAATTGAGAATACAGATGGAGGTTCAGGTTCAGGATGTTGACCAGGTAAGTTAAATGTAGTGTTTTGGACACTGGGGAAAGCACTGAAAGGCTAGATGAAAGGTCAACACCAAACCAACAACAACAACTGGGCCTATTCTGATATGGCAAGGCAGTTGACAGCAGAGGGACTTTGGTGACAATCTGTCTCAGCTAGAGGAAAGGGCACTTTTTCCTTGTTTATAGACTATTTGAGAATAGGGATCGAGGTTGAATAATATGTATCGTTTTCCAAAAAAATTGTAGGGTAGCACAATTTGCATGTTTAATCAGCTTCAGTGTCACTTTAAATACGCCTCAGTCTGCGGGTGTGGCGTACTACGATTGGTTACGTTGAAAATATACCAACTCAACTTTAGGCAGGAAGTGGGAGTGTTGTAACATTTACCAATACCTATTTTGTCTGAAAAGTCAGATAACATATATTATTGTGTAGGATTACTATGATGTAAATCAATAAAATTTCGTCTTAGAAAAATATAAACGAAAGTGCATAAAATAGCAACAACCTCCCCCGTACGTTTCAGCGTCATGACGTGACCAACTCGTTATCTTCATGTTATGAGTATAGCCGCTACCGCTGTCAGGTGCAAGTAACAGCTGGGAATTCGTTTTTTCAATGTTAGATAACATAATCCTGAAAATAATATTTAAATGAAGTATTCGACGAATGGAAGATGAGACAGTCGCTACAGAAGCGACTGATTTCAAAATGACAGCAAGGACCTATTACACGTTTGCCGTGGAGAAAGTTAAAGATGTGAGTCACGTGTCATTCTAGCCAATTTACTCCCGCCTCCAGTAGTTGATCTAGACGTGTTGGAGAGACTACAGAAAGATAGGGAGGGTGTTGATCCATCTGATTTCTTTAAGAGACGTCTGGATACTGTGTATCAGGATTTTGTGTCCATTTACACTGATGGTTCAAAAGATCCAAGGACAGGAACGTACTGGGTCAGCATTTGTAGTGCAGGAATGTGGGGTGGAAGTCAGGAAACGTATTACAGATCATCTGGCTGTATATACGGCGGAGCTGATGGCCATACTGTTGGCCTTGCAGTGGGTGGAGGAAGTCAAACAAGACAGAATAGTTATTTGCTCTGATTCATGTGGAGTGTTAATGAGTCTCCAGTCCTTTAGCTCACGTAGCAGACAATACCTGCTTTATGAGGTGCTACAAACCTATGGCAGGATTAAACAGATGGGTATTCAGATAAGATTTACTTGGGTCCCAGCCCATGTGGGGGTGGAGGGGAATGAGGCAGTAGATGAACAGGCTAAACAAGCACTTAGTAGTGGGGATGTTGATGTTGAAGTTTCAATGAGCAAGGCAGAGGCAAAAATACTTATATATACAGTGATGGTGCAGAGATGGCAGGAGCAATGGAATAGAGATAATAAAGGAAGGCATTTATTTCAAGTACAGAGGAAAGTCTGGGAGGGGAGGACGGCAGGAAGGGACAGAAGAGAGGAGGCTATTTTTACAAGATTAAGGGTGGGACACAGCCAGTTGAATAAGACATTAAATGTGATAGGAAAGCATCCAACAGGAAAGTGTGATTTATTGTCAGGAAACAGAGACCTTGGAGAATGTATTGCTACAGTGTGGGCAGTATCAGAGGGAAAGAGAGAGGATGAGATCTAGTATGAGGGAGAAGGGGATACAGGAAATTAGTTTAAAGAGCATATTGAGTAGAACGTCATTAGAAACAGTCTATTTTTTGTTATCTTTTTTTAAGAGCAACGGGGTTGGCAGGTAGGATTTAGTTTATCCCTGTCTCTGGCCCACACTCCAGTACAGTAGGTGGCGGTAATGCACCACAACGTTGGATGGCAACCGCCGATAAACCCCACTGAAGAAGAATTCTAGCCATCTAACGTTAGCTTGGACTCATCACTGCTAAAAACATAAACTGGTGTTAGCAAGCAAGCTAGCCAACTACTACATAATTCAATTTGTAGGGTTGTCAGATATATCACGAAGTTGGGGGGAAAAGGGGGTAAAAATTAAATAACAAGTAGTTAGGTAGCTGGTTAGGTAGTTAGCTTGTTGTGGCTTCTTGTAGCAATGACAATCACTTTACTTCTCAGTCACTCACAACAACTTGTGTCTGTGTTTAGAGGAAGTTGGACGTTTGCACTTTGACTGTCATGTATCCACAATCCAGGTCCTGAAACAAAAATCTACAGCAGATCTATGATGATCGTAAGTAATTTCTCTGATTTTCTACCCAGGTCGTGTCATCCCTTCCTGATGACATAAGGCCAGGTCCTGATCTGTATGGACTGCCATGGGAAGCTGTCATCATCACTGCCTTACTGGGGTTGGGCACCCTCCTATTGTTCAGCTGCAGGTTCTACCAATGTGTAAGTTGTCTTTCTGATATTATTATCAGCATGCACGTATAGGGATGAACAACAGCATTCTTTATTTTGATTGGGGAGTGACCAAGCTCACAAAATTGTTCCATTGTTTCCACAGATAAAGAGCAGACTGTATTCAGGCAAAGAGAGGCGGATGGGCCTGAAGGTGGCTGAACTATTAGATGAGAAGTGCAAAGTCCTTGAGATTTTGAGTGAGGTTCAACAAAAGGTGAGGCCTATGTCAAATAATCCTGTGTTATTGTACTGTGTGTGTGTGACTGACTGGATTAGCAAATTATTCAATGCAATGCCCTTTGAAATTACATGTTTTGTATGGACCTGTGTGTTAGGAATGCTTTTGCTACTGTTTGTTTATGTTTATTTATGTACCTTTTTAGTATGAAAAACTGGAAACTGCCCTGCAGAATAGTGGCATTTTGGCTCACGCCGCAGAGAGAGAGAATCTGGAGGTAAGACAGACAAACTAAACGGTATGATTGTTATCAATACTGAAGAAACATTCCCATATAACACCTCTAAATAACACTGCCAAGTGGTATAAAAGGACTTGGTATGCATGTGACTTTCAAGTCCCAGGAAATCTATAATGGTGTCCTCCTCAGGTGATGTCCCAGAGGCTGAAACGGTCAAATAAACAGCTTGGAGATGATATAGAAAAGTTAAAGAAGGACCTGAATATCCAGAGAGCGAGGAGGTTGCAGCAGGAGGATACAGTGAGTTTGACTTTGTACATTTTTCTCATCACCTTTTCCAGTGTGTTGATGTTTATGCGTTGACATCTTTCAACTATTGTTATTATTTTCAGTTTCACTCTTTGCTCTAAAATTTCACTGTTTATTTATTTTTGAGATGTGGTGTTGTGTGCAATTCTCCAGATTGCAGATATGCAGGAAACCTTGAAAACCTTAGAAGAAGAAACCAGGGACCTCAAGTCCCAGACAGAACAGGTAAAGTCTGAAAACATGTTAATTGTAATTCCTTCCCGTAATGCATGTTAATCATGTTGACACAGTCAAAGCCAGGTTAGATGTAACTCATTCTGTTCTCTTTTCAGGCACAGACAACCCTGAAAATATATGACATGAACAGTGAGAGGAATCAGAATAATCTGGAGGCAGCAAAAGAGGAGAAGGCCTTGCTCCAGGAGAAACATGCCCAAGTATGTAACCTGACATCTAATATGTCAATTTTCATCTATATATAGGCCTACCAAACTAATCAGAGCCATAGATACAGTATCTATATGTATGGCTCTGTTACTAATAGTGGTGTATACTCCAGTTCCATATCAGCCTTTGTTGCTTTAATGCTAAACGAAGCATTTGAAGTTTCTTGTTACACATTACAAAGAACCTGCATGGGTTGTCCTGACAAGAAAGCAGAAAGAGTCCTATAGTCTGGTGGGGTCCTCACCCTTTCCGCCTCTTCCCACAGCTGGTCCAGGAGGCAGAGGGCTGGGGGGAGCGGATGAGTGAGCTGGAGGAGGAGATGAGGATGTGTGAGAGCTCCTACACTGGAATGCTGCAGGATGCTACCAACAAAGACGAGCGCATCAAGGTTTGCATTCATATTACTGCACTGTCTAAAACAAATATTTGCGTACCTTGCCCTGCACTGGAAAAACCAGTCAACACCCACTATGAAGATTACTTGGGGTTTCAACTGACCATAAGTTAGTTGACACCCTAAATGGCTCAACCTATTTGAGGCTATGATAATCTTCATAATGGTAATCCTTTATTGCCTGTTATTTAATTATAAATTGTATGTACTTTGTTTTGTTGTATGTACACTATATATACAAAAGTATGTGGACACCCCTTCAAATTAGTGGATTCGGCTATTTCAGCAACACCCGTTGCTGACGGGTGTATAAAATCGAGCACACAGCCATGCAATCTCCATAGACAAAGATTGGCAGTAGAATGGCCTTACTGAAGAGCTCAGTGACTTTCAACGTGGCACCGTCATAGGATGCCACCTTTCCAAAAGTCAGTTTGTCAAGTTTCAGCCCTGCTAGAGCTACCCCAGTCAACTGTAAGTGCTGTTATTGTGAAGTGGAAACGTCTAGGAGCAACAACGGCTCAGCCGCGAAGTGGTAGGCCACACAAGCTCACAGAACGGGACCGCCGAGTGCTGAAGCGTGTAAAAATTGTCTGTCCTTGGTTGCAACACCCATTACCGAGTTCCAAACTGCCTCTGGAAGCGACGTCAGCGAATCTGGGTTTGGCGGATGCCAGGAGAACACTACCTGCCCCAATGCATAGTGCCAACTGTAAAGTTTGGTGGAGGAGGAATAATGGTCTGGGGATGTTTTTGATGGTTCGGGGAAGGCCCCTTATTTCCAGTGAAGGAAAATCTTAACGCAACAGCATACAATGACATTGTAGATGATTCTGTGCTTCCAACTTTGTGGCAACAGTTTCAGGAAGGTCCTTTCCTGTTTCAGCGTAATGCCCCTGTGCACAAAGCGAGGTCCATACAGAAATGGTTTGTCGAGATCTGTGTGGAAGAACTTGACTGGCCTGCACAGAGCCCTGACCTCAATGCCATCGAACACCTTTGGGAGGAATTGGAACACCGACTGCGAGCCAGGCCTAATCGCCAAACATCAGTGCCCGACCTCACTAATGCTCTTGTGGCTGAATGGAAGCAAGTCCCTGAAGCAATGTTCCAACATCTAGTGGAAAGCCTTCCTAGAAGAGTGGTATGCTGTTATAGCAGCAAAGGGGGGACCAACTCCATGATTTTGGAATGAGATGTTCGACGAGCAGGTGTCCACATACTTCTGGACATGTAGTGTATGTATGTGTTTTGCTGCATGAATACAACACAAGAAGTTCACTAGGGTAAAATAAAATTTGCATTTTAATGTTAAAGCCTTCTCTCTCCATCAGTCCTTGACAGACTGCCTGTTGAAGATGAAAGACTGGGACTCAGTGCTGGAGGACAAAGCCAACGGAGAGGAGAGGAACGGGACACAAGGGACGGGGAATGGAGAAGGACAAGGTGAGGTTCTGTCTGGTGTATACAAGGCTATGACTGCTAGTAAGGCATGGTCAACTGGCTTTTGCTCACCATCTCTTGGATCGTTATGCACGGCCATCATTAGATATATATATATTTTAAAGGAGTCAGGATATTGACTGAGGGAGTGGGCGATCTGTGTATGTGTCTTCCCAGATTTAACTTATTTGTTTGTTCTTTTTTGTCCACAGATAACCATCAACGACAAAGAATACAGAAACTAATTCATGCAGCCAAGGTATGTCTTCTCTTCAACTGAAATGATGGCTTAAAAACAAAACTCTTATCAGTGATAAATAGAAGATATGTGACTATTTATAAAAAAAAATATATATATATTTTTTGTCTTCTCTTTAGATGAATGCAGACTTGAAGTCGGTGGATGAAGACAAGGACAGGGTGTTTGCTAAGCTAACAGATGAAGTCAAGGCCAAGGAGGATCTCCAAGGTAAGCAGAGTAGTGTGCTGTTCAATAGTAATTCCTCTGATCACGGTGGATAACAAAACAACGTTTGTTTTATAATGTACATACAATTTAGCAGATGCTGTTATCCAAGGGTGTTTTGGGAATAATCAAGATGCAAAGACAAATGGTCGGTTTCCCAGACACAAATTAAAGGGATACTTAGCATTGCTAGTAGATACCCATAGACTTCCAGTCATTGCACTAAAGCTAGTTAGCATTGGCTCGCAAAACTACCTCTAACTTCCTTCATACTGGACACAGATGCATAAAAATGGTATCCACAAGTTAATCTGACTCTGGGGAAGTCGATAAAGGGCCTCATTACCAACATCCCCAAGTATCCCTTTAAGCCTAGACCTGGACTAAAAAGCTTGACTGTTGTGTTGCAGAGGGGATTAAGAAACTGAAGAATGAGAAGGCCTCTCTGCAGACAGACAGTGAGAAGTACACGGGCCAGGTGCAGAAACTCCAGCAGAAACTGCAGATCATGACGGAGATGTACCAGGAGAATGAGCTCAAACTACACAGGTACTGTACAGGAGCCACACCAACGCTGACCCAAATGCACAGCTTCATCTATGAACATTCAAAGCTATACAGGCTAATCATTAAAAGATACATACGCTAATATAGGATTTGTAAGGATTTAAAAGCAAATGTATAAAAGCGTTTATAATGGCTTATTCATTAAAGTTATTATGAAGTGTAACCAAAGTTTCTCCAATTAGAGTGGGGCTATTGAACTGTACTATGCCTGGTAATGTATGTTAATAGACTTCTCCCCTGTGATATGTCTATGTTAATGGTTCTTCTCCCCTGGTGTCAGGATGTTGACTGTGGAGGAGAGGGAGCGTCTGCAGAAGGACGAGAAGCTGACCAAGGCTGACAAGAGCATCACCCTGGCCGTAGAGGAGCGCAACAGCTACAGGTCAGCTACTGCAGGGTTACCCAAACTCAACCCCCCCCCCCCCCCCCCCCCCCCCCGGGTGCACGTTTTGGTTTTTGCCTTAGCACTAAACTGCTGATTCCAATAACCATCTCATCATCAAGCTTTGATTATTTGAATCAGCTGTGTAGTGCTAGGGCAAAAACGTAAATGTGCACCCAGGGGGGCCCAAGGACAGAGTATGGGAAACCCTGAGCTACCGGACATCCCTGACTCCAGATATCATTATGTCCAAAAACCTACCAACCAACACTTTTCTATTTCTTGGTTAGGTTTTTCCATAACCCTAACCCTAAAATGTATACTTTCAGTAAACCTCCTGTCAATCAAATAGATCCAATGTGTTTTATGAGACACCACTAAAGGAGCAAGGAGTTGCACATGTCCAAAATATTCACGGGGTGTTTGTGTTGAGTGCTTGTCTCAGGGTGCAGTTTTGTTTTCACACATACAGGCAAAGAGCACAAGACCTGGAGGATGAGCTGGAGAAGACTAACCAGGCCTACAAAACCCAGGTGGGCGATCTGACAGTCTGTTCTATCATAAGAGACTGGGAGAGGAGAAAAACATTCACCACATGCAATGATGCTATGGCCAATACCACATTTAATTCGCTCTCCATCTTTCAGATAACTTCTCAGGAAAAGAAGGCACACAAGAACTGGGTAAGTACATAGTTGCATCATACATACACTATGGAGCACAACTCAGCTCATAGTCATGTTAAATGGGATTTCCTCAGCCTGGCAACCTGTCTGTAATCTCTTGTCTGCATTGTAGCTAGCAGCACGAGGTGCTGACCGTGACTTGGCTGAAGTTAAAAGAGAGAATGCACACCTCAGGCAGAAGTAAGTACTAAAGAATACTTTTTTTATTGAAGTCAGTTTCACCAGACATGATGGGAGGTGTTGCTACAAAATAGTATTTCCATGTAGTGTGATAAGTATTCTCCAGCTGTGGTATGTCTCCATGCAGATTGACTGATACTCAGTTCAAGCTGGATGTGGTGGAGAAAGACCCCTATACTCTGGACAACATGGACAGACCTCTGTTCAGAGGTGAGTCTCTGATAAACTAGCTGTAATGATATCTTCTGCTAAATCCCAACTCGCCCCCTACATTTACATTTACATTTTAGTAATTTAGCAGACGCTCTTATCCAGAGTGACTTAGTTAGTGAGTGCATACATTTTCATACTGGCCCCCCGTGGAAAACGAACCCACAACCCTGGCGTTGCAAGCGCCATGCTCTACCAACTGAGCTACAGGGGACTACACCCTAACCACTACGCCATACATTGAGAGGATTGGATAGGGGGAAGCAATATGTTAACAGAACTGCTTATAGCTTAGAACTGCTTATGGGCGACATGTAGCCTAGCGGTTAGGTCAGTTGGGCTGACTAGGTGAAAAATGTTGAGCAAGGCACTTCATCCTAATTTCTCCAGGGTCACTGTCAATAATGGCTGATCCCTGGCTCTGACCCCGAGGGGTGTCTCAGGGGGATTGGGATATGCAAAAAAACACATTTCCAATTCACACTTGCACTTGTACATGTGTGAATGGGGCAGATGTAAACACCCACCCACCTAATTATTATTATTATTATTTATTATTTTATATCCATCCTCTCAGATCTACAGGAGTGCATCAAATCAAATGTTATTTATGACATACTTCTTAAACAACAGGTGTAGACCAACAGTGAAATGCTTACTTATGGGCCATTCCCAACAATGCAGAGAGAGAAATAATAACACAAGGAATAAATACACGAGTAACGATAATTTGGCTATGTACATGGGTTACCAGAAAAATAATAACATGAGGAATAAATACACAAGGAGTAACGATAACTTGGCTATAATTTAAAATCTAAATACACGGGTACCAGTACCGAGTCAATGTGCAGGGGTATGAGGTACAGTAATTGGGGTAGATATGTACACTACATTTGGAAAGTATTCAGACCCCTTGAAATTTTCCACATTTTGTTACGTTACAGCCTTAATATATATATTTTTTTCAATCTACACACAATACCCCATAATAACAAAGCAAAAACAGGTTTTTAGAAATCTTTGCAAATTTAATATAAAAAATAAACTGATATCACATTTTATTTTACCTTTTTATTTAACTAGGCAAGTCAGTTAAGAACAAATTCTTATTTACAATTACGGCCTACACCGGCCAAACCCGGACGACGATGGGCCAATTGTGCGCCGCCCTATGGGACTCCCAATCATGGCGGTTTGTGATACAGCCTGGAATCGAACCAGGGGGTCTGTAGTGACGCCTCAAGCACTGAGATGCAGTGCCTTAGACCGCTGCGCCACTCGGGAGCCCTTTTACATAAGTATTCAGACCCTTTACTCAGTACTTTGTTGAAGCACCTTTGGCAGCGATTATAGCCCCAAGTCTTTTTGGGTATGACGCTACAAGTTTGGCACACCTGTATGTAGGGTGTTTCTCCCATTCTTCTCTGCAGATCCTCTCAAGCTCTGTCAGGTTGGATGGGGAGCGTTGATGCACAGCTATTTTCAGGTCTCTCCAGAAATGTTTGATTGGGTTCAAGTCCGGGCTCTGGCTTGGCCGCTCAAGGACATTCAGAGACTTGTCCCGAAGCCACTCCTGCGTTGTCTTGGCTGTGTGCTCAGGGTTGTTGTCCTGTTGGAAGGTGAACATTTGCCCCAGTCTGAGGACCTGAGCGCTCTGGAGCAGGTTTTCATCAAGGATCTCTCTGTACTTTGCTCCGTTCATCTTTCCCTCGATCCTGACTAGTCTCCCAGTCCCTGCCGCTGAAAAACATCCCTACAGCATGATGCTGCCAACACCATGCTTCACCGTAGGGTTGGTGCCAGGTTTCCTCCAGACGTGACGCTTGGCATTCAGGCCAAAGAGTTCAAGCTTGGTTTCATCAGACCAGAGAGTCTTGTTTCTCATGGTCTGAGGGTCTTTAGGTGCCTTTTGGCCAACTCCAAGCAGTCTGTCATGTGCCTTTTACTGAGGAGTGGCTTCCGTCTGGCCACTCTACCCCATAAAGGCCTGATTGGTGGAGTGCTGCAGAGATGGTTGTCCTTCTGGAAGGTTCTCCCATCCCCACAGAGGAACTCTGGAGCTTTGTCAGGGTGACCATCAGGTTCTTGGTCACCTCCCTGACCAAGGCCCTTCTCCCCCGATTGCTCAGGTTGGCCGGGCGACCAGCTCTAGGAAGAGTCTTGATGGTTCCAAAAATGATGGATGCCACTGTGTTCTTGGGGACCTTCAATGCTGCAGAAATCTTTTGGTACCCCTCCCCAGATGTTTGCCTCGATACAATCCTGTCTCTGAGCTCTACGGACAATTCCTTCGACCTCTTGGCTTGGGTTTTGCTCTGACATGCACTGTCAACTGTGGGACCTTATATAGACAGCTGTGTGCCTTTCCAAATCATGTCCAATCAATTGAATTTACCACAGGTGGACTCCAATCAAGTTGTAGAAACATCTCAAGGATAATCAATGGAAACAGGATGCACCGGAGCTCAATTACGAGTCTCATAGCAAAGGGTCTGAATACTTATGTAAATAAGGTATTTCAGTTTTACATTTTTTATCAATGTGAAAAAAAATCTAAACCGGTTTTCGCTTTATCATTATGGGGTATTGTGTGTAGATTTTTTTTTATTTTATTAAAAAAAAATCTATTTTAGGATAAGGCTGCAACTTAACAAAATGTGGAAAAAGTCAAGGGGTCTGAATAATTCCCGACTGGACTGTACATGTAGGTAGGGGTAAAGTGACTAGGCAACAGGATAAATAATAGACAGTAGCAGTCAAAAGTTAGTGCAAAAAGGGTCAATGCAGATAGTTAGTCTGGGTAGTTAATGGTTAACTATTTTGAAGTCTTATGGCTTGCCTATCGTGTACTAGGTTCTAGAAGTTGATTTGTAATTTAGAATTTCTCTGTCATTATACCGAGCATTGAACCATCTGTTCCTCCCTGTCCTGCAGGTGAAAGGTCACCGTATGGCCCCTCCCCCTTGGGTCGCCCCACCTCTGAGAACAGAGCCTTCCTGTCTCCGCCAACCCTGATGGACGGCCCGCCCCGCCTCTCTCCAAACTTCCCCCCCATGGGACCGGGAGGCAGAGGTGACCCCTCCAGTCCACACCCCTCATCAGTGCACTGCAGGCCACTGCTATACCATAACACCACAGCTGAATTTACATGGCTTGTGACGTGTGCCCTTTTAGCATGACAGAGAATCATGTTATACTCGTTGGCAGGGCATGTCATGAGTTTATATTTAGCATTAAATATTTGTACGTTTGTATTTAGTACTAATTTCCTATGTGCCATGACCTTGTGAAAATGCCATTAAGAAAAATTATCTGCAGGATAAATTGATTATTATTTAAACTCCTGTTAATTAATTAAATGAAATTAGAGTTTTGATTTATAGTCTTCTTATTCACTAAAACAATGCTGAAAACCTGTTCTTAAGCACCTAATACAAATGCATACTAAATCTTGATTGGCTGGAAGGTTGGCACAACATCTGTTACAGAGATGCTTATCTTTTATAGTGTAAATTGCCTTGGCGGCGAGCATGCACCAGAAAGATAGGGAATGCTATGCTGCTGCAGTATATCACCTACAGAGAGAGGAGCGTCGTCTTTGCACATGATGTATTGTTTTGGTCTTGTCATCCATGCTTCATGAACTCATTGACATTATGCTGTCTCTCTCTTTCTCACTCACCTACCACTCCCACATCTCTCTCTCTCTCTCTCTCTCTCTCTCTCTCTCTCTCTATCTATCTATCTATCTATCTAATCTATTCTATCTATCTATCTATCTTATCTATCTATCTATCTCATCTATCTATCTATCTATTATCTTATCTATCTTATCTATCTTATCTATCAATCTTATCTATCTATCAAACCAGTATCCCGAGGCCTGTTAGATCCCCTTGGTGGGGTGGACTCTGATCGGAGTGGTGGTCCTCACTCTGACAGCGGCTCGATATCTCCCACCTGGGAGAGGGATCGCAGGGGCCCAGCTATACCCCCTCCAGGTACGGTGATAACCACCCGCTATCGCCCCCCTATGATCTCAGGCAGCAGCCGCTCCAATCACTACAGACAGAAGTTATTCTATCCTTTATGTAGGCCGTCATTGTAAATAAGAATTTGTTCTTAACTGACTTGCCTAGTTAAATAAACAAACACATCTGCTGTTCTAGTCCTCTAGTGTACTCTGTGTGACACACATTCATTTGTTTATAGTGTCAGCCCTAAAGGATGTGTGTACTTTATTTACTTCAGTATGTTTTACCATCTTTCTACGTAAAGAGGCCCTGACTTTCTTTTGGGTTGTAGATAATTAGTAATAGGGTGAGTGAGTTATATTTGTTAACCAACTGTCAGAGATTTGTTCACAGCAAAATAATTCCCCTCAGTTGGGTTACTATTTTCATGTCACGGTAAAGTCTACATCTGTTGTATTTGGCGCATGTGACAAATACATTTTATTGTATTTTATTATGGTCAGCCGGCCCTGTGAGAGGTTTGAGATTCTCTCTTTTGGTTCAAAACACTCTATTGTTGTCAGTCTGTGAGGTACAGGTCAGTGAGTGTATGACTACTATTTGTCCAGTGCTGATGTGGTCGGTTGTCGTAGTTCCAGCCTCACCTCTGTCTGAGTCACGCGGCAGGGCCACAGAGACGGGCAGAGTCAGCAGGTTGGGCCCACTGACTGCAGACCACCACATTGAGGAGTCAGAGCCTTAGCCTCCACTGGTTTGTTCCAGAGTTTTCCCCACCCTCACTTTGGCCTTTGTGTCACCTGGGCCCCTGCGCTACTCTAACCCACGTCTGGTCTCGAATTCACTGGATCTAGGAACTATGAACTATTTAGTTGTTATCATGGGGGAGCAATTAGCATGTGGCATCACTGTATTTTGATTATACATCGACAATTCCATCATCCCCACCCTGCCTACTACTGTCACTGTTTTGTTGTGTACTAACTAAATGCATCATGATTTAAATGTGTGCTTGTTTTTTGTTTCGTGATATGATGAAGATGCTTCTGCTTTTCGCTCCAGTCCCCTTTGGACCAGTGGAGGCTGCTGAGGGGAGGACGGCTCATAATAATTTCTGGAACGGAGCAAATGGAATGGCATCAAACACATGGAAAGCATGAGTTTGATGTATTTGATACCATTCCGCTCCAGCCATTACCACGAGTCCGTTCTCCCCAATTAAGGTGCCACCAACCTCCTGTGCTTTGGACACTTCTGATCTCCTTCAGCTCAGCTGGTCTGAATAAAGCTGATGAAACTGTCTTCTCTCTCTCTGCTCATAAAGGGTGTATGTATCCAGACCCAGGCCTTCCCTACAGGAGACCCCCGCCCGGAGCCCTTCCCCTGGGCCCCCTCCCACCCAGGGGCCTTGGTCCTGCTGAGCCCCACAGCTTTGGGCACCACCCTGGAGATCAACCTGGTGAGAACCCTCCTTTCAAACCTGTAATTAAAGCACCATAGATTTAGTTTTAAAAAAGTCTGATTTCAATTTTTGCACTATAGCCACTCTGTCAAATTAATTTCAAAAGGGTGTTTAGTGCTTGGAGTATGTAACTGAAGTGATGAAGTACATTTCAAGACAGGATCTTTAATGCTGTCCTGATTCAGACCGATCTCCTTCGTCAGCAGTGAATAGTAGGAGTGTAGATGATTAGTATACCCCTGAAGAACAGTCCAATGTTAGAAAATGGGCAGGATATTGTGCCTAATCTGGAAACTCCCTTGGTTTAATAGAGTTAAGCTAATAGCATTATCGAGGTATGAATGAGCCCTCTTTTCATCAAATGAACCCACCAAAGACAGAAGTGGATCTAGCTAGGTTCTTACTGTGGTTTTCCTCTTGTGTTCTTGCAGACTCATCATTTATGGGAAACAGTATGGGTCCTGGTGAAAATGAAAGAGATGTAAGTATTCTCACCCTTCTTCTAACAATAGTGGTCCATTCCATTCATGCACTCTCTCTGTCTCTCTGTGTCTCTGTCTCTGTGTGTGCAAACATGTATATTTTGCTGCAAAACTAATTTCCCCTTGGGGATAATGGTGTTCTACAGCTACCACGATGCCCTCCATAGTTATTGGGACAGTAATGCATTTTGTTCTTCTTTTGGCTCTATATTCCACAAGTTTGGATTTGAAATCAAACAATGACTATGAGGTTTAAGTGCAGGCTGTCAGCTTTAATTTTAGGGTATTTTCATCCATATCGGGTGAACCTTCGTCAGAGTTTACGTGAGTGTTTTTAATTTGCACCCTTATGTAAACATTGCTCCACCCACATCCATTCAATGCATCGAATGGGGTTGGAGTCAAGGAATTCTTATTTACAATCAGTTATTCCAAAATTACACAATACTTTATTTACCATTAATTTCTATTGGGCACAAAATAATCTGAAATGCAACCAAAACAAACAGAAAATGCATCCAAGAAGTTTGTTGTAGTCATTGCATGCTATGAATACCAAATACTTCACTTTTTACTACTTTAATACACATAGAAGTGAATTTGTCCCAATACTTTAGTTCCCTAAAATTGGGGAACTAAACTGAACAGAAATGTAAACGCAACATGTAAAGTGTTGGTCCCTTGTTTCCTGAGCTGAAAAAAAAAATCCCCGAAATTTTCCATAAGCACAAAAAGTTTATTTATCTCAAAGTTTGTGCACAAGTTTGTTTACAAAACTGTTTGTGAGCATTTCTCCTTTGCCAAGATAATCCATCCACCTGACAGGTGTGGCATATCAAGAAGCTGATTAATCAGCATGATCATTACACAGGTGCCCCTTGTGCAGGGGACAAGAAAAGGCCACTTTAAAATGTGCAGTTTTGTCACACAACACAATGCCACAGATGTCTCCAGGCAATTGGCATGCTGACTGCAGGAATGTGTAATAAAGCCCTTTTGTGGGGGAAAAACTCATTCTGATTGGCTGGGCTAACTCCCCAGTGGTTGGGCCTGGCTGCCCAGTCATGTGAAATCCATAGATTAGGGCCTAATGAATTTATTTCAATTGACTGATTTCCTTATATGAACTGTAACTCAGTAAAATCTTTGACATGGTTGCGTTTTATATTTTTTTGTTCAGTATATGTACCAAAAGTGCTGTAATTATTCAACGGTTCACCCGATTATGGATGAAAATGCCCTCAAATGAAAGCTGACAGTCTGCACTTTAACCTCATAGTCATTGTTTGATTTCAAATCCAAACCTTTGGAGTATAGTCAAAAGAAGAAAAAATGCTTCACTGTCCCAATAATTACGGCGGGCACTGTATATGGATTTCAGAGTACACATGGATGATATATCAGTTAAATCTCTGTCTAAATGTGTATTTGGAATGTGTTCCCTCAGTCCCACCTGTCAGCACCTGGAGATCTGAGAGACATGACAATGCCCCCTGATGCAGACATGAGGATGGGACCTCCTCTCTTAGGACCCCCTGGTACGGGTCCCCTCCCACCCATGGACCACAGGGACCCTTACTTTGCACGCAGAGGCCCCCAAGGCCCTTACGGACCTCCAGACTTCTTCCCCCCACGAGGTCCAGCGGGGCCCCCCATGGGCAGTATGTATTCTCTTTTCCCTACATAATAAAGGCTCATATGTGCTTTTAAGTTATAACGCATTTTAACTGCAGGTTTTAAGTAGTATTGCAAAATGTTTTAATGTAATCATTTGGTTCTATTAACATAAGCTTTGGGTGGGAGATAAGCTTTGGGTGAGGATTGTCATTCCATACATAATTTTCTACATCTTGCAGGTTAAATTACTCAGCTTCATACTGTTAGACTGACTAAACGTAATCCTTTCCCCCTTGTTTCCCTTGTAGTGCGAGGGCCACCTCCCCCGGGAATGTTTGGGCGATTTCCACCGCCACAGCATATGGGCTACCCTCCCATGAGGCCCCACCCAGACAGTTTCCCCCCTGGACCCCCTCCAAGGCCCTCCCCACCAGGCAGCGAACAGTCTCCCGACCAGTCCCCCTCTCCACATGATGTCATCTGAGCCAGCTCTCTCTTTCCCTCTCTCTCTGTGCGGGAGAAACTCTCTCTCGGCCCGCTTCCTGTGTGAAAACTTCACTTCCTGTTGTTGTGATAGTAGTGAGCGACTGAGCGTGTTCAGGGACTGTTTCCTGAAGTGTAACCTCGACATTCATGTGACCATCTCCCTTTTTTAGAGGCTGGGAGTGGAATTGTTTCCCCACAGTCTGTCGCACACACAAACATAGATCACTGTGTCTTAGGACTTATTTGAGAACAGCACAGTACCACCAGGAGTTTTACACAACTGGAAGTACTGAGCGATCATCTATGTAACACAGTTTGGTACTGTAGCTATGTGTGTTTTTATGGTGTTGAATGCAGTCTTTTTGAAGAGGTTCCATAGAGTACCACAGTATGAGTCATAATACCCATAAAACCTAGCAGTCAAACAGAGAAATGGTTCCAATTGTTTTTCCACCATTTTTCCCATAAGGGATTTTAGAAACACGTCAAATAAGGGCTGGGTTTTTTTTGTAGGCTTACCCTGGCGTGACGTTTTGATAACCATGTAAATCTCTCTAGGACAAGGTGACTTTTATCAATATATTCGCTAATATAGCTGCTAATGTGGCTATCATAAAGAACTACAAATGCCATGATGATCTGGAAAGGACTGCCGAATCGAGGCAAAGTTAAGAATCTCTGTATTAACTATCTAATTTTAGCTAAATGTATACTGAACATAAATATAAACGGAACATGAAAGAATTTCAAAGATTTTACTGACAGTTCATATGAGGAAATCAGTCAATTGAAATAAATTCATTAGGCCGTAATCTATGGATTTCACGACTGGGAATACAGATATGCATCTGTTGGTCACAGATACCTTAAAAGAAAAGGGCCTCACAATGCGCCTCATGGTCTCGTCACGGTATTTATGTGCATTCAAATTTCCATAGATAAAATGCAATTGTGTTCGTTGTCTGTAGCGTATGCCTCCCAATACCATAACCTCACCGCCACCATGGGGCACTCTGTTCACAATGTTGACAACAGCAAACCGCTCACACACATGACACCATACACGTGGTCTGCGGTTGTGAGACCGATTGGACGTACTGCCAAATTGTCTAAAACTACATTGGAGGCGGCTTATGGGAGAGAAATGAACATTTAATTGTCTGGCAACAGCTTTGGTGGGCATTCCATAGGTCAGCATGCCAATTGCATGCTCCCTCAACTGGAGACATCTGTGGCTTGTGTGACAAAACATTCTAGAGTGGCCTTTTATTGTCCCCAGCACAAGGGGCACGTGTAATGATAATGCTGTTTAATTAGCTTCTTGATATGCCACACCTGTCAGGTGGATGGATTATCTTGGCAAAGGAGAAATGCTCACAAACAGGGATGTAAACAAATTTCTGCAAAAAAATTGAGAAATACGATTTTTGTGCGTATGGAGAATCTCTGGGGGTCTTATTTCAGCTCATGAAACATGGGACCAACACTACATGTTGCTTTTATATTTTTGTTCAGTATAGTAATGAATAAATTGGCTACATTTCTTTAAATTGACAATTCTGTAAACTGTCTTGAGCAACTTTTACATTTACACAATACCTATTAGCAAAGGTGTCACCTAGAGATGACGTGCAGGAGCTTGCATGGATTTGTAGTTTTGCATTATGTCTACTTGGATGCTAATTAGCATTTTTGAATCAGAGTAAATAGAGACAAATATATTTATAAAAGTCATCTTGTCCAAGAGAGATTTACATGGTTATCAAAACGTCACGCCGGGGTAAGCCTACACGAAACACAGCCCTTATTTTAAATGTTTCTAAAATCCCTATGGAGAACAATGAATGGTGGAAAAATGATTGGAACCATTTCCCTGTTTGACTGCTAGGTTTTATGGGTATGATGACTCATACCGTGGTACTCTATAGCTATGTGAATCTGCCTTGTTCTGAGTGGCGACTTGGACTAACTTGAGAAGGGTGCGTTTGCTTGTAACGTCAAAGGCATTTTAAATACATCTTATGTCCTTTGCATTCTTGACGTGTGTATATATTAGAGAAGTTGTGTCAATAGTGAAGGTAATGTATATACCAGCATTAGTCCAGTCACATTTCCTGTCTAAATTGAGCTGAAAGATGTTAACGTTTTTAGCTGTGAGGTCTTGACAGTCCATAGTTTGATCATTAAAGGACATGGAATGACGGTTTGCCTTGAGGGAATATGAAAAAGTGATTTAATGTAAAAGTGTAAAATGTTATGCTCAAGTGTTTACAAATAGTTGCTGTCGTAAATGTTCATACAGTATCAAATGATTTGAACAATCAGAAGCTGTTTCATTAAAAATGGCATGTTGGTCCTCTTCAGGTATAGCTGTAACCTCATGATCCGAACCATATAAGCTGTGCCAAGTCAAATGTCAAAACAATGTCTAGCACTGACATGTTCCTGTACCACTGGGTCATGTAAGGTACAATTACACCTGATTAATATTGTTAAGGGTGAGATGTTGCACAAGATTAAGCACTGCAATAAAACTAGGATCAGCAAAAGATTTCCAAATACAAAACTCAAACCATGAATAATACAAAAGAGACCATGTTTGTCTTTATAATGCTTTTATTCACTGATTAAAAGAAGAAGCATTCATTCAACATTGATTCAAATCAACATTCGGCTGGTTTACCCAATATCTGTCAGTTAGGTTTTTGTGGGATTTTCCTTCTTTAGCTATCTTGGAACCTTGGATCACTTTTCTAATCAATAAAATGCTCTCCACACCTGGCATTTTCACACATGCGCCAGTGGATTTCCCGTTTGCAGATGTACATATAAAATCCAATGCTATGTGCTCACTTGACAGAACACACTTGTCCAAATATTTAAACATTTAAGATGGTAAAACCGCTTACAAACTTTATGTTCATAAATAGAACCCAGACATCTTGCATAAGAGTATATGTATTGGTATATACAAATATGCAATGCGAGTTATTTTCTTACCCAAAAGTTTCTAAGGACGCAGCCCAGGTGTTCGCACTGCTCGTGCCCTCGTGGTTGCCACTTGTAATGTATGACTTATTTTATTGCAAACTGTCCTGATTTTAAACAAATGCACGACATTCGTACCACTTAACTGGGGCCTGCTGGCCAGTCTCATAGAGACCATGTCTGTAACCCACGGTCGCCTTTGAAACGGAGTTTGGCTTCCGAAGAATCAAGATCTTAAAACAATAAATCATAATAATAAGGCCAAGTATCGTAGCAAGTTAAGTTACTTCCATTTGTAAGTGACAAAAAAAAGAAAAAGAGCCACTGGATTATATGCATTCCACTTGCATAGTTTCTGACTTTACTGTAATGCAAGCCAGCCATTAAGAGATGTGGCTTGTTTCAAGCTCGCCTCCCTCCTGACCCCCACAACAGTAGACCTGTGGTATTACAGTGGTTCAGGTTTTTAATAATGGAATAAAACCAAAGACAGTATCAATTCTCCTCACTCAGGTATCTTAACTCCAAGCATTTACACTCTTAATAAGGCTGGCATGAGTTAATTTAGCTGTAAGTTACTGTAGCTTTCTGGGCGCAATAAGCTTCTACAGGCAACAGTTAGTTAAACACTGAGATGGACCTGCCCTACAAGCAGCACACTGTAGCTACACAGCTTCCTCCTATTCAACAAGATAGATTTGGATTGCAAATGCATATAAAGTGTCCAGAAATAATAAAACAATATCAAATAAAAAAAAGGGGATCCAACCTTACAGTTGTAACCTACAATAACCCAACTGGTCTTCTTTTTGTCCAGAGTAACAAAATATCCCCAGTCTGCTCTGCCTGTTTAACATGCAGAGTGAGACTGGGCTACACAACCACCTCTATATGACTCCACACTGCAAACAATTATTTTCATAAAAAGACCAGTTGTGACCTATCTACTGGATCCCGTTACCCCTCAAAACAATAAAATAGTAAAAAATATAAGTCATCTCATGCAGACATTTGGCCATTTTCTGTTTGTTTTTAACTCCCCAGTGGAATGTTCCTTACATGTTTCATAGCAGCGTACTGGTCTGATAGAATCAACCAACCTTGATTTGATCTATACTTAAATTACATTCACTCTTCACAGTGAAACAGGTGCATTTGTAAAGAGAGAGAGCTCTACGGTTGTTGACCAAGCCACAGCTCAGCTGTGCACCACATGTGGTCCAACTTCACCCCCTATTCAGTAAGTAGATCATATTTCTAGAAGTATAGTAGTAGTTGTAAAGGAGTAGTCGTAGTAGTACATCATTGCTGATCAGCCATGGGCCCTGCCCTCTGCCAGCATGTGGGCACTTTTTGAGAGTTGTTTCACACCGTGATCTTTGGCAGCTGACACAGACGCGCTGACAGGACGTTTTTAAAATCCAGTGACTTGTTGGAAAAAATATGAATCCTAACTTTCATTATGATGTTGAGGCCTGAGCGATGGAACTCATTTTCTATTCTACCTCAACTGACAGTAACCCTGAGAAAGGCTGTTTCCTGCTCACTGGTGAAAAAGTGGTACACCACGTTTAACTTCAAAACACACCATACACCCCCTTCTCTGATGTATGCACTTTTGAAACTTTACACAAACGCACAAAAAACCCACACAAAAACAAAACACTGATGCGTAAATGAGCTATGCTTCTGTAACGGTAGTCAAATGCGGTACTAGACAATGAACGGTGAACTGGAAACGAATGCAGAACAAACGGAACAAGGTTTGAAATGAAAGCTCCTCTGGATTTAGGCACAGCATGAATGCAACATTAGGATGTTTTACACATTGTAACAATTGACTGTCATCCTCTTCCACTAACAAGGTCTTACCCTACCCCTGTTCAGCACAAACAAAACAAGTTAACTCCAAATATAGAATAATATTATCTATATCCTTTTTGGTGTGGTACTAAAAATAGAGACTGGACTTTTAAATAAACACTTTTAGAATCCCTCTGTTAACATGCATATAGTTTCAATATTACTTTTCCCCCATATTGATGCTTCTCATGCTTAAACCGTAGATAGACTAAGTTTACCCCGAGTGGAACCTTGCATGCAGGCTCATATCTGACTGCAACAGCTAAACAGATTAGTAGTGGATTCCACAGACTGATTGTGACATTGTTTGAAACATGGATCACACACACTTCTTGCCATCTGATGCCAGATGTTTCTATGCAATAATTTTTTCCTCGATTTCCAGTACTTTGCATCTCTTCTTTAGCTGAAATGGCTGGCTTTGGTAGTACCAATGAAAGTCATGGGCACGGAGGAACGCAACAAGAAGCAATAGCCGACCGACGGCTTCATAACCACTCAAGGTCAAGAGACGTAGCCTACTCTCGTCTTCTCCGGAATGTTACAACATCTCAGCAGCACAGAACAAGCAGAGGCCTACCACACTATTCCAGCCCACACACACACACTCTACTGTCTTATAAGTCAAGACTGGTTCCCTAAGCTTTACAAGCAAGGATAAAGAAGAAGATATTCGTACGTAGGGGGAATTCTGGATAGCAGACAACTTTACACATTAAAAAAAGGTTGTTAGCTTCACATTTACATTCTACCACTGAGTAATCAACCTCAGATTCCCTCTACTACTCTGAGCTCTAAAACAGCAAGTACACAACAATAGAAAACGTCATTAAAAGTCTTTTCACAGACGCACATCACGGATCTTAACCTTCTTAAAAGTTAAATCGAGGGAACGAGGAGGCGGGGCTAGAAAAATAAAACCAACAACCTCTGGTATGCGTTGTGTTGGAAGAGCTCTTTCCCCAGTATTAGTATCCAGTATTCAGTCCCACCAACACGCACACTGGCCCTCAGAACAACAGACAGCTTTGCATTAAAATAAAGCCTTCATTGGAAAAAAGTACAGAAAGTGCAAAAATCCTGAGATATGGAACAAGCAAACATATGTCTCCCTCCATCCAACGCTCAGCAGGTGAAACACTGTGGCCCTGGAGTCAGTCAACACAGCATGCACTTTGCCCTAAAACTGTGAACAAGAGAAATACGGGCAAGGAGTAGTTTTTTTGCCATTCTTTAAACTCTTTCAACACCTTAATCTTAAAACAAATGTACGACTAAGTTTGTTTACCCCGTGGTACAAGGGGCAGATTTGATGGCAAAAACGATTGAATCCAGAAAACAAGGGGGTTTCCAAGGCAACTGTGACTCAAGAAAAACTGGATTAAACTGACAGACTAGCTGATTGTTTCATAGTATACATCATCATCACCACCATCTTCATCGTCATGTTTTGCCTACCTGAGACAGACAGAGAGGATTTTTCTGAGAGCAAACTACAGCGTATGACTGGCAATGCTGACCCCTGACTAAAGGACTGCAGCTGTACGCAGGCAGCTCACAGGGTCTCAGCATGAGTGTGTCAGTGTGGAAACCTTAGCAATTGGTTTCACCAGCAGAACTGTATCACATCCCACCTCTGGGTTGAGAAGAACCAGCAGGATCTTAGTCCCGTAACATAGCAATCATATTATCTCCAAAACACAAAAGTAAAGAGCAGACAGGGAAGAAGGGGGGGGGGGGCTAACCACAGTCCACCAGCACTGTCCCTCCCTCTGCTGGAAGACCACTGGACTAATCTCCCCTTAAAAAGGTGAACAAACAAGTACACAGGATTCCGTCATTGCAAAAAGCCAAGGTGGATGAACTGATAGTTAGTTTACGGTAACTCAGCACTCGCTAAGAGAAAAACAACAAACAGACAAAACCAAAAAGAAAACTTGCAATACAACTAACTAAGCTAGCTGTGTAAAAAAGCCCCCTCCCTACAACAATCGCTCAATTAGCTACTAATCAAATACCCGACTATACTCTCCTATTCATAAGCAGGATATATATAGATAGATATAAATAGAGCTAATACTGATTAAACACAGCACATATAAAGGATTAGTTCCTTCTACAAAGAAAGAAAATATAAACTAAAAATAAAGTATGCAAATGAGATAGGACCCATAAGGTTTAGATTATATCATCAAGACAAGCACTGAGCATGTGCAGCAGGCCAGACCAGGGTTGTGTTCTTTAGGGCACGCAACGGAAAACGTTTCAAAACGTTTTACAACAGAAAACAGAAGATCAGCGTTTTTTTATTGGACAAGTCCAGGTAGTCCCTCCCTGTTTAGGTCTTGTTTTCTTCCGTTTGGTGCCTAATGAACACGACCCAGACGGAGGCCCGGCCTGGCGGCTGTAGCTCTAGCCTACATGCCCAGGCTGAAGCTCTGCATCTCCCTGTGGAAGTGCTGGGTGGGCTCACTGAGGACCAAGTTGGAGTCCATGGAGGGGTGCCAGATGCGCCCCAGGCCCTGGGAAACCTCCTTCACCAGGTTGTGGACGGGGTCACCCTCCATGAAGACCCCCTGGTCCGGGTCGAAGTCGATACTCTCCTCGGACACGGCCAGGACCTTAAGGCTGGAGCCACGCAGACGGGAGATGGCCACCAGGTTGTGGGACCACACAGTGTAGCCTGTGGTGTTCAGACAGAGGAGAATCACATTGAACACCACTGTAGAAAGAACATACTGCATACTGAATATAAACAAACTCCAATTGCTCTGTGCTATACAAATCAACATGCTGCCAATATGACCTCTACACACACACTAGACATAACATTACTCCTAGAAAATAACCAGTTATACATCTTTCTTTCTATCAGAGCAACTTGTAGAACCCATGATATTGGAAATCAAAATCACTCCCATTAAAATGTTAGGCTACACTAAAAGTGTTCAGCTATGTAATACTAGCTTTTGACCCAGGCTGACTCACCGTGGATGACCAGGACAGAGAGGTGTACGCAGCGCCAGGCCAGCAGGACCAGCGGGTCCTCGTTGCGGTTGACGCTGAGGTCAGGGAAGCCGGTGTCATCCCTCATCAGGACGAAGTGGCTCAGGGTCTTGTTGTACTGCTGGGCGATGAGCTCCAGGGTGCCGTCTGTGACCAGGGTGGAGTAGCTGTCCAGGTGGATCCTCTCCAGGGGCAGGCTGGGCTTGAGCACCCTCAGCAGGTCCTGGCTGGACACATCCAGGGCCATCATGTAGACCCGCAGGTTAGCGCAGCGGCGGACCAGGGCCTTCCAGTCGTCCTCACTGGCGGTGCCATCGAGGGGCTTGGCCTCCAGAGCGGCGCCATTCACCATCAGGGAGAGGCGGTGTAGTGGAGCACGGTCTCCTCCTGCCAGTAAGCAGCACATCTCAGAGGTGAAGTCACAGAAGTCGAGGGCCAGGGAACGCAGGTGGACAAGCCGTTCCAGCTCCACAGGGGAGGCCAGGCAGGGCAGCTGGTTGTCCAGCAGGCTGAGGTGCTCCAGGGAGGCAGCGCTGGGGTTGGACAAAGAGGCCAGGGAGCAGGGGGTTACCACACCCAGCATGAAGGCTGAGGACAGCCACTTCATCTGCCTGCTGTTAGACAAAACTTCTACTAACAGCTGCTGGATCCTACTCCAGGCCAGAGGAATACACACAGAGACAGAGGGAGAGAAAGTTACAATCTTTGTAACGTCTGACTCTCTTCCATATCTGCAAATAAAAGCCTACTCACAATGAAAATGAATACAGAACAAAAACTAGGCAGAACATAGATCCTATTATATTACCTAGTTATGTGTTCTATATGTAATTCTATGAGGCAGAATTTCAACTGAGGACAGTTTGTACTGTGATTGTGACCCCTATATGCCCTTTTGTCGCCTTGGGCAAGATATAGCCTAGCCTTAAAGCCACTCACTCTTTGATTTTCATTCCTCCTTGGTCAACCTGGTTGAGATAGGCACTGTCCAGAATGCCCTCATCCTGAAGAATGCAGGTATCCCCATACAGACTCAGCTTCTGGAGATTTCTAGAGCGAGAAAGAAGTTTGAGCTTTAGACAAAACCGGACACAATCAGCCATAGTGGAGGTCAGTGACAGTATGTTCTAATTGTACTCTGCAACAAACATGACTGCAAACAAGCTCAAACGGTATGCATGTCCTCACCAATTTGCCAGAAGGCCTGTGACAATCAGCACCTTTCAACATCACTGGTGTGCACCACAAACCCAGCATTCCTCATATGACTGTACAACCAACATCTCTAGAGCTCTCTTTCACAAGTGTGCTGTTATTGAATAAGCACTGGAATTAACTACCAACAACGAAATGCCTCAAGACAGCTTTAGTCTCCCTATGAGGCAGTGCATCTGGAACTTTTCAGGACAGAATGCGTCCAAAAGATATTGGCATATTGCTAGTACAGGTTTGAGAAGCCAGACTTGCATATGAAAGCATGCTGCCAATGTCGTTGCTGACCTCAGGGGTTCACTTTATAGATTACCTGACCATGACTACCACTGCTGCTGCAATGTAGTTCAAATTATAAACATGCCCTAGCAACATTCTTTGCATAACAGGCAGAAAAACAGACTGACATGTCCTATATACCAAGTAGCTAGATTATAGCTTGAATAGGCAAAAAAACTACACGTCAATCAAGCAGTATACGCAGAAATCCGTAGAGAACGACATAACCCGATTACGTAATGACATGGGCTTGTTTATAGTTAGGCTAGCTAAAGGTTAGCTCGCTGACTACGCAGACCCAACAAACACTCAAATTGACGAGTATGGCGTTGCTGACGCACTTTGCATTAAACATTATGTTGAATCATTGATGTATCCAACTACCTGTTGTTTCGAATACATCCGAGGACACACAACACCTGGTCCAAATAGGTGATAATTGCGTCTTTCCAGCGGCCAGGGAACTGAGGGTCGCTTTCGACAGATTCCATCCTGCCCTCCACTCCGTTCAGTGGCCTTAGATATCCTTCAACAGGGGCAAACTCGAGCTGTAGCTCGCGCACGAAGGAGCCAAACTTCCTCATGAGAAATTCTAATCTTGGGGTCTGTTCGGAGCCATAGCCTCCCCCGTTCGAGCCACCTCCGACACGCAACTTGAGCTCCGTCCAAAGCGATGGGTAAAACAGACACTCCCTCCAGCGAGAGCACACGGACGAGGCCCGAAGCTTGTCACGGTCGGACAAGAATGAAAATATGTGGACGATAAGCTCGCTAGGTAAAGCCATGGCTCCAACACCCCCGCACAGAGCCATGGCACAGGCCACTGAACTATTATTCGCGGACAGAAAGTGTAAATATAACCGTTTTAAGATTGTGCGACAACCGTTCTGTTCCGCTACTTGCTCTCTGTGAAAACAAACAACATTCAGCAGCTTTGCGTTCAATACTATTGGATCATACCACTTCTATGACTACGTGGGGATGACAACAATACTCTGCAAAATCCCACTTTTGAAACAGGCCGAAATAGTTTGTTTTTCTTATATACTTTCAGTTTCTCTATATGTTGTCCATTTAGTTGTACTGACGACATCTACAAATGTAGTATTATTTTAATCAAACCATTTGCAGCAATGGTTTGACCCAAGTGCTGTTATTTTTTGCCATACCTCTCAAGTGCGCAAGGTGGAGTACTTTCATTGCAGTTGAGCCCCCCACTATTCTACTGGATCTCTAAGAATAAAAGAGTAAAAGGGTCATTTTATTGAATTCTCTGCCCACGCCAAGACAACCTCGTTCTCTCTTTGCACACTATCTCTTTACCGTTATAAATGTAATAGTGTAGATACCATTTTATTAACCTTCTAGCATAGCCTTTTCCAATATTGTAACGTTAGACTTCTAAATGCAATTATTTTTTCACAGATAATCTATCCAATATCAGATACCGATCATCACATTTAGGGGTATTTGATTGAATGCCATTTGTTGCATTCCACTATTTCACAAAATCCACAATTCTGATATATATATATATATATATATATTTTAAAGCCGCAAACTGATGGGATGGGAAAGAAGAATCAAACCCATTGAATTATGATTTAGAATAGTAGAATGGTTTTGAACCTTCTTATGATGGTCCAAAGGTCAGCCATGTTGGTCAGGGAGTTGGTCAACCATGGTTTACCAGTGCTGTGATAAGATATTGTGTGAAACAAGGAATGTGAATAATTTATGTGCACTGTATGTGTATTAGATAGCTAGCCAGACAGTTTTAGAGAAATGATTCCATAAATTTTTCCAAATTAACTGCCAATATGCCAACATTCCATTCAAACGATGCAGTCAAACCACAGCGATACACTGGCTCAAATCAGTTGATGATAGTACATAGACAAGTTGTAAATGCAACAATTACTGATATTGTATCATATAATAGCACTCACAGCTTTCCAAGAAAAAACAATCTGAGACATTTATGGTCTACATATATTTTAGAGGCTATTTATACATTAAATTGGTATAAAACCTGTATAAACAGTATTTATAATTATATGACACTATTTTAGGTTGACTATAATTACATTACACAATTTCTGATACATCATATGCCTTACTTTTATTTTCCTGCATAAGTAAAAGCAGGAAATGCATCAGCTATGCCTCTACTGCCATTCATTCCAATTAGACAGTTTTGGGATTTCTCCCTGACCAAGATGGCTGCCATTTTGTCCCATTCTCGAACTTTGAGGGTTTATAACATTTCCCCTCTAGTAATTTAATAGGATCTTTATGACCAAACCCCTATCTACGTCATTTCCGAAATTTGAGAGAGGAGACAGAAGTGAGATGGCAGAGCTGTCACTGTATCTTACTAATGTCAACATCTCTTTGGGGAAAGCTATGGACGCTGAAAAGGTGCGATTATTACCATTTTAGACCTGTTCTCATGAGTTTAACAAACAAAAAAACGATTGTGTGTTGTGTTTGTTTTAGCTAGCGATCTAACGTTACTTCCTTGTAGCATCAGCAGCTAGCTATATATCTAGCTATCTATCTCGAACGTGAATAAATATGTGCATGCTGTAGGCAATTTTTTCACAATTATACCACATACATAGTTAGCTACCATAGTTGCATAGACAGCTACGAAGCAATCACTCACAGAAACTGCTTGAAAAACCTTTTGGATTTTTTTCATTCAAATGGTGATTTACTAACCTCATAATAATGTGAGACAAATGTCAAAAGCCCTATAATGTAGCTGCTACGTTTTCTATTGGTAACATGGTAGTAAAATCCTGTTTCTACCAGCTGTAACCAAACACGTCTTGAGAATAGACTGTTTTTGTTGTTGTTGTTGTTGATTATGATGATTGACAGAGCTCCAATATGGTGAAGGAGTTTGAGAGTGTGGAGCTGGGAGACATAGGGATGAAGAAGCAGAAGGTGCCCCGTAGAACGATTTACTTTGCCAGTGGAGAGACCATGGAGGAATACAGTACAGATGAAGAAGAAGAGGAGGAAGTGCAAGCTTCTATAGCTGTTAAGACCTCAGCTGACCCTGTTGGTTTTTATGCCCTTATAAATTAAAATGTGACTTTACTCCATTACATGAGCTTGAATAGAATGAAACATTCCTGCATTTCGTTAACTTTGTTTTCTTCTTGTGTCATATTTTTGTTACAGTCCAGGTTGACTTGGGGTCCATATTTTTTGTTTCACATGTGGAGAGTGGCAACCTCCACTATTTCAGGTAAATGTGGTTTACGTATACTAGACTCTAAATATACACACATATGATGAGTGTCAAAATATAGCCTATATAAATGTAATGCTCTGTGTCTTGGAAATACTGTGCCTCTGCCTTGTGCTTTTCACTTTCAGTTTGTGACTATCTTGGGGAGAGAATGGCCTCATTGTTTGGTATTACCTCACCCAAGTACCAGTATGCTATTGACGAGTACTACAGAATGAAAAAGGAGGTACGTTGTCTTGTGTATGGGGAAGCATCTACTGACAGACCTTGGAATGCTTCATTACTACTAATGTGTTACTACTATTTTGTCACTACTCCTTGTTACTACTCCAAGGTGCAGTTTAATGTTCATGTTGTGACTGACAGGAGGATGAGGAGGAGGAGGAGAACCGGCTGTCTGAGGAGGCAGAGCGTCGTTTTAAGGAGGAGCGCGACCAGGAGATCCAGCAGCCAGCCATGGAGCAGCCGGAGGGCAAAGCCTCCTTCGTCAACGTCACCTTCGAGCTGGATCAAGATGCCACACCTGATTCCAACAGATTCCCTGCCCCCATCCCCACCGAACAGTTCAATTAAATTGACATCTTCACATTTCACAATGTAGCCTCCTCAGCATTTTTGCTATAGTGTAGTTCTTATTTTTGTATCATATTGATCATGTTCTATTAGTACTGCAAGTCAGACATGAGACAAAATACATATTTTTTAGTTGCTGCGTTGTCGATATGCTTTAACTTTTGTGTGCAATGAACATTGCTGTGCTGTGTGTCAGTGAATGAGCACACAAATTATAGATATGATGCTGATTTTAACTATTTGCGGGTTTAAGAGATTTCTCTGATACATTTTTTCAGGTACTTAATAACATTGTTATACAATAAGTTAGCAGCGAGATAAGTGACCTTTCTAAAACCATTCCATTGGTGCACAATGTTATTTGAATAGTTGATTTATTTCAGTTGGAAATTGCTTTTTATATTCATTGTCAACCATGACAATTTTCACCTTAAAATACTCACAAATATCCTATTGTTTTACTATGATTAGTTCTGCAGTTCTTTTCAGAAAGTTCATCAAAATGATGTTTTGAACTGTCCTCCAGGCCTTTAACAAAACTTCACTCGTTGCTTGTTGGCATCTGTGCTCAAACTTCAGTCATTACTATTGTCCAGAACCATATATTTAGAAATAGCCCTGCTAAAGCTGACCTTATCTGCCATGGTCCCTTCTGAGTGTATAACGCTTCAGAACGAAGCCCAAGGTAAAGCGAAACATGGTAAAAAAAAGATCTGCTGCTTTCCTTTTGAACAGCAGTATTGTCAAGATAACTACTTTTCACAGTCCCCAAATAATATGAAATGCCACTTTATTAGGGCTGGTTGTATAAGGAAAACATTTATTTTCCCATCCTACGGTATTCACACTACACACTCCTTTACCCAAGGAAAGAAAAACTACAACTGTTTGATTTGTAGGCTTTTTATAATAATTTTTTGAGTAAAATACATAGTATTTTCATTTTCTATACTATGTACACTACATTAATAAACATTTAAACAGGTCATACAACTGTTATATTTAGAAGTCTTGGCAAGTTATTTTTTTAAACAACTGAGTTCCAGTTGTAGAATCTTCACCGTAACATTTATCCTCTTCTTGCTGAGTCTAGTAGTCCTTCCCAGTTTGACTGAAGATTCATGTATCGTCAAGGTCAGCTGTGTTGCTGTCGTTGTCGTTAGCAACCAGAACTTCCCTGTTTTCATAAGTCCAGAATCCGTTGAGATCAATGAGGATGCTGGTTACTGTGTCTCCTTGGCTGCTGTTCACTAGATCCTGCAACGTGATCTTGTAGGGATCCTTTGGCTTCACCATGTCAAAGATCTCATCCTGAAGGCACAACATTGCAACTTTTTTCAAAACGACTTATTAAAATCATTGAGTGAATTATTGAAATCATTATTAAAGATGGAATCCACAGTGGGGTAAACAGCGCCACTGTCCGCCCCATGGCCATTGTTAGTGTTTTTGTTTTGTTGAAGCAGAGCTGGGGAGTGTCACGCATCATGGTAAAAGAAATGTCAGTACATATGCTGCTGTTCTATCACGCATGCAATGATGTCTGAGGGAAAAAACGGTTCTTTGTTTGCAGTAACTTCTTGTTGTAATATCGCAAATGGACGTGGCAGTTTCACCATTAAAGATTCCAGTTTTAAAAACAAAATCCCTACTAGTACAAATGAGAATGGAGTTTGAGACTGTAAAAAGCGGTCAGGGAACTTAGATTTTATGGCATGACAAATTTGAATCAATGTAACATTTGTATCAACAAACTCAGAATAGAGCTTGGGGAAACAAGGGCAGCAGCACTGAACACCTACTGAGCACTATACCTTCTGGTTAACTCCATAGAAATGCTTGACACCCACACTCTAACCCCACAATATTTCTGGATGAAATGGATACTTCAAGCTGATTTTACAGTAACCAGTAGTATACTTCAGAGTTACTTCCTCCATGGTGAATACGGTAACGGGACAAAGTCTATTTACCTTGACATCCTGGAAGGATACTGACTCCTGGCCATGGATTTTCATCTGCTCCTGAATGGCCTGGTGGAAAATACATGATGCAATGTTACAACAGTTTTCAGATGTAGATCAATTATTATTATTCTCATTGATTGTTTTGATAAAGTGACTTAATAAAAAACAATTGTTCACAAAAAAAGTAGATGTAAATGTAATCCCTTTTTCTCCCCAATTTCGTGGTATCCAATTGGTAGTTACAGTCTCCCCTATGGACTCGGGAGAGGCGAAGGATCGAGAGCCATGCGTCCTTCGAAACATGACCCTGCCAAGCCGCACTGCTTCTTGACACACAGCTCGCTTAACCCAGAAGCCAGCCGCACCAATGTGTCGGAGGAAACACCGTCCAACTGACGACCGAAGTCAGCCTGCAGGCGCCCGGCCCGCCGCAAGGAGTCGCTAGAGCATGATGAGACAAGGACATCCCAGCCGGTCAAATCCTCCCCTAACCTGGACGATGCTGGGCCAATTGTGCGCCTCCTCATGGGTCTCCCGGTCACGGCCGGCTGTGACACAGTCTGGGATCGAACACGATTCTGTAGTGACGCCTCAGCAATGCAATGCAGTGCCTTAGACTGCTGCGCCACTCGGGAGGCCCATGACAACACGTTTTATTCAGTGAGCAGGATAGCAGATGGAGAGGTCCCACTGTCTACTCTGCTGTCTCTATTTATTCCTCCGATGTCTCACCCTGAAGAAGTAGTTGAGAGCGAAGACGTTGAGGTAGCCCTTGTTCTCCATGTCCAGCAGCTTGAAGATGTACTGCAGCGCTGCAGGCTCCTTCCTGTTCTCCAGAGCCAGGACAAAGTCCAGGTATGTCTTATAGTCCTGGGAGAGACACAGAGTCAAGACCAGATTTAGCATCAAATCAGGTCAAAACACATTTCACATTTACTGTGTCCTTTGATGAAATCTTAGAACGACTATTATGTGATAATAGTCTTACGCCACGTGGTATCTGTGCAATTCTGAGGAAGAGTGGGTTTTTGATTGTTTCATACAGTTCAAAGTAATCTTATTTGGTTAAACTATTTCAACTGTAGACAAACAAAGATCTATAAACCTGCAAGGAGAGTCTTTGCAACACACCGACATCAATCATATATTCTAAGTGCTTACATGTATAGTAAAATGGGTCAGAACAGCAGGCAAGGTTTTTACCATCTCTCCGTCGTAGGTGAGGCACTCCTGGTACACGCGGTCCAGAAAGACGCTGGTCAGAGTGCCAGTGCCGTAGCGAGACAGCTCCTCCTTACTGAGCATGCCGTTGTGGTCCTTATCAAGATTCAGGTACTGACCTGCAAAAGGGAACACAGGATCGACCATCTTACCAAGACAGCAAGGACAAAGATCATCTAGTATCTCTTTTTTATTTTAACATTCAGGTGTTACCGGCTTCAGATTAGCCTAATGTCTATTAGGCCATTTTTTTTATCAAATGCTGCTGCGTACCATAAACTCTAAGAGCAGAGGGTGCAGAGAACCAGTTGGATTCCTGGCTCTCCTTGGAAAGCTCCTCATCTCTCAGCTCGAGCAGATCATCCAAAAAGCTGCAGGCCAAGATGTCTTGAATCTTAATCTTCCCTGAAAATAAACATGAATAAATGGAACAAGATGTTATTTTGTCAGAGTGGGCACAGACAAACAAGTTATAGGCATGAAGATCACTAATCAGAATCTTACAGAAGTCTGCACATTTGACAATCATGTTTTTGGTTAGTTATTATATATGTAACAAACCAGTCCGTAGGGGATCCAGGAAGAAGAAAAACTTGCGGACAGCAGTGCAGACATAGAAGGAATAGAAAGACTTCTCCAGGCCATCCAGCTGAGGGAGCGTTGGGATCAGCTCTAAAATGTAGTTCTCCAAGTCCTGTCACATTATGAAGGGGAAATTACAAAGACAGAATATGAGTATATGAAAGTTGACTGTCCAACCACAACTGTCATATACGCTCTCCCAAAAATTCACAAGAGCATGACGCCACCTATATACCAGGCAGGCCCATTGTGAGTAGTAACGGATCTCTGACAGAGAATATCTGTACCTTTGTAAACCATGTTGTGAAACCCTGGGCGATCTCCCTCCCCACATATACTAGAGACTATTGATTTTATAAATGTTTTTAAATCTGTGGACCATATACCTGAAAATTATATTCTGTGCACTTTTGATGTTACCAGTCTATATACTAACATCCCCCATCAGGGTGGCCTAGAGGCCCTCAAGTTCAACCTCAGTGAACGTCCCTCTAATGCTCTTCCCAGCACCAATTGTATTGTGGACTTGGCTGAACTGGTAGTAACCTCCAACTATTTTCTCTTCAGAGGAGACTTTTTCCTCCAGACCAAAGGGACAGCGATGGGGAGCACTATGGCTCCTAATTATGCTAACCTATATCTAGGAATGTTTGAAAAACAGGTGGTGCTGAATCCAGACCTTAACCCTTTTCTCTCCAATATTCTCAGAATTCTGAGATATTTGGATGACATTTTCGTGATTTATACAGGGACCCAGGAATAACTTTTGGAATTCCATGCTTATCTAAACTATGAATGAACACCTTCATTTCACCAATAACTTTAACCTATCACAAATCAGTTTTCTTGATGTGATGGTTATTAAGGACAAAACCTCCCTCTCTACAGATCTCTATAGGATACCTACAGACAGGAACACCCTCCTTAGAGGTGACAGCTTTCATCCACGTCCACTTATTAAAAGTCTCCCTATAAGTCAATTCAGTCGCATCAGAAGAATATGCAGCTCTGATGCTTATCAGAAACAGACCACGGACCTCACACAAAGGTTTAAGGAAAGGGGGTACAAAGACAATTGGGTAAAACATGCCAATGATCGTTTTGAAGGACTAACACAGTTGGAAAGCCACCAACCAAAAGTTAAAGAAAAAGCAGAACATGTCCCCTCATGCTTCACTCAATACTCACCATTGGGGAAGGCATTTAAGGACATTATCAGGATGGTACATTATTGATACTGACCCACAAATGAAACCCATTTTTAAATATCCCCCACGTATGGTCTTTAAAAGACCCCTAAACATGAGACATTGTAGTTAAATCTGATTACCCACCAGAGAAAAGGGAAACTTTCTTGGACAAGGTTCTGGAGGATAATTACAAATGTGGCCAATGTGCTCAACGCAGCTTCACATACAAATGCAACTCATTTAACCACCCCTGCACAGGACAAAGATTTAAGATCAAAGGCCTGATTACCTGCATGTCCACAAATGTTATTTACATGTTGAAATGTCCTTGTGGTCTGTCTTACATAGGGAAAACCCGTAGAAGCCTTAAGACACAGATCAGTGAGCACTGCAGCAATATACGGACAGGTGAGACAAGAAATCTGGTTGCTGTTCATTTTACAAGCTGGACATCCTATTAGTTCTCTGAGATACATTGGAATAGAAATGGTCAAGATGTCACGCAGGGGAGGGGACATTGAGAGGAAACTTCTTCAAAGGGAATCTTTCTGGATCCACAGGCTCAACACACTGTCTCCTCTTGGCCTTAACGTGGAGTTTGACTTGAAACCATTTTTATAGTTTCAAAATGTCCAAATCGTGTTCGTTTTTTTCCTAATTGAATATTGTATGTATATTACTGTAAATATTGATCACATTCCTTGTGTATGATCATATATTTTGATACATTGAATGTTAATATTGTGAATCTATGTTTTTTCATTTTTTACCTCCTGTTTCAGGAAGTGATGTCACTGAGTACTGCCCCTATATATAGGACCTTCCACCCCCACCTGGGATATGGATGCCTGATGAAGACCTAAGGGTCGAAACGTTGTTAGAAATAAATATCACCTGGGAGCATGAGCAGCAGTGTGCGGCGTTTTCCTTTCTGTTTACATTACAAAACACACATCATCTCAACAGTAAGTCCAACCTTAATTCTAAACAGTCTGATGTTCAACCTATAGTGAATCTGGGGCAACTTGGACAATTTACACCCCAAAAGTCATAACATTTGTCGCTTTGCTGGAAAATACAGCAATACAGAATGATTATTCAAAGGTAGAAGGGTCAATGAGAAGAACATGTCACAGAGAAGAACAACACCCTGTAAGCAGAGATGCTTCACAGGAGGGTGGTTCCTGCATCATGGTCATAGTACACATCTCTGAAAAGCACAAATGGGTCTCAATAGGAATCATGAGAAGGTAGGGAGGGAAGGGTGATATTTCACTAAGGAGCCACCAACACAAGCTTTCAGTCTAAAAGTAAAGTAGTGAGAGCGCTTACAGACTCGCGGAGGTAGCCCTGTCCAGCCACGTCATAGAGACTCAGCCCTATCCTTGTCTGGTGAAGCCACACTGGAAGAAGAGACATGAATATCAATATCAAGACACTTATCAAACACTGTTACAAAATACCACCTTCACTTTCCCACCAAACCCAACACCATCATACACTTACAGTTGAAGTCGGAAGTTTACATACACCTTAGCCAAATACATTTAAACTCAGTTTTTCACAATTTCTGACATTTAATCCTAGTAAATATTCCCTGTCTTAGGTCAGTTAGGATCACCACTTTATTTTAAGAATATGAAATGTAAGAATAATAGTAGAGAGAATGATTTATTTCAGCTTTTATTTCTTTCATCACATTCCCAGTGGGTCAGAAGTTTACATACACTCAATTAGTATTTGGTAGTGTTGCCTTTAAATTGTTTAACTTGGGTCAAACATTTCAGATAGCCTTCCACAAGCTTCCCACAATAAGTTGGGTGAATTTTGGCCCATTCCTCCTGACAGAGCTGGTGTAACTGAGTCAGGTTTGTAGGCCTCTTTGCTCGCACACGCTTTTTCAGTTCTGCCCACACATTTTCTATAGGATTGAGGTCAGGGCTTTGTGATGACCACTCCAATACCCTGACTTTGTTGTCCTTAAGCCATTTTGCCACAACTATGGAAGTATGCTGGGGTCATTGTCCATTTGGAAGACCAATTTGCGACCAAGCTTTAACTTCCTGACTGATGTCTTGAGATGTTGCTTCAATATATCCACATCATTTTCCTTCCTCATGATGCCATCTATTTTGTGAAGTGCACCAGTCCCTCCTGCAGCAAAGCACCCCCACAGCATGATGCTGCCACCCCTGTGCTTCACGGTTGGGATGGTGTTCTTCGGCTTGCAAGCTCCCCCCTTTTCCTCCAAACTTAACGATGGTCATTATGGCCAAACAGTTCTATTTTTGTTTCATCAGACCAGAGGACATTTCTCCAAAAAGCACGATCTTTGTCCCCATGTGCAGTTGCAAACCGTAGTCTGGCTTTTTTATGGCGGTTTTGGAGCAGTGGCTTCTTCCTTGCTGAGCGGCCTTTCAGGTTATGTCGATATAGGACTCATTTTACTGTGGATATAGATACATTTGTACCTGTTTCCTCCAGCATCTTCACAAGGTCCTTTGCTGTTGTTCTGGGATTGATTTGCACTTTTCGCACCAAAGTACGTTCATCTCTAGGAGACAGAACGCGTCTCCTTCCTGAGCGGTATGACGGCTGCGTGGTCCCATGGTGTGGTCCTCTGTAGCTCAGCTGGTAGAGCACGGCGCTTGTAACGCCAAGGTAGTGGGTTCGATCCCCGGGACCACCCATACACAAAAATGTATGCACGCATGACTGTAAGTCGCTTTGGATAAAAGCGTCTGCTAAATGGCATATTATTATTATTATTATACTTGCGTACTATTGTTTGTACAGATGAACGTGGTACCTTCAGGCGTTTGGAAATTGCTCCCAAGGATGAACCAGACTTGTGGAGGTCTACCATTTTTTTTCTGAGGTCTTGGCTGATTTCTTTTGATTTTCCCATGATGTCAAGCAAAGAGGCACTGAGTTTGAAGGTAGGCCTTGAAATACATCCACAGGTATACCTCCAATTGACTCAAATGATGTCAATTAGCCTATCAGAAGCTACTAAAGCCATGACATCATTTTCTGAAAATTTCCAAGCTGTTTAAAGTCACAGTCAACTTAGTGTATGTAAACTTCTGACCCACTGGAATTGTGAAACAGTGAATTATAAGTGAAATAATCTGTCTGTAAACAATTGTTGGAAAAATTACTTGTGACATGCACAAAGTAGATGTCCTAACCGACTTGTTTGTTAACAAGACATTTGTGGAGTGGTTGAAAAACGAGTTTTAATGACTCCAACCTAAGTGTATGTAAACTTCCGACTTCAACTGTACAATGAAACTATCCCTGTTACAAAATAACACCTTTACTTTCTCACCAAACCCAACTCATTTTCACTTAGGGCCCTCAAAATGTATGGATGTGGGTACGCAGACCCGCAAGCCACTGCGGCCCCTCATGATGAGTTCCGATTTTTTGTGGCCCCCACCCCATCAAAGTTGCCCATCCCTGATGTACAACATGCCATTACACCAGACTTAGTTAGATAGCAAATGTTATGTGATAATTTTCTTCTGTAGTCCCTGGGCAGAAAACAATCAACATCAATACATATCTACAATATAACACCCTATTAAAATATCTATATAATATTTTATTTTACAATATACAACAATAGACAATATAATGATAATATTTTGTTTAAATGTCCCTTGTCCTAAGGTATCTGACATCTTAAGAGTCGGAATGTCTTAATGTTCACATGACTGGTTTGCCTTTAGCCACTTTTTCAGGTTTGCCTTGATGCTGTCCTTTTTCAGGTTTGCCTTGATGCTGTCCTTTTTCAGGTTTGCCTTGATGCTGTCCTTTTTCAGGTTTGCCTTGATGCTGTCGATACACCCGGACAGCATCAAGGCAAACCTGAAAAAGGACAGTTGTCTCCCGAACCCCCCTGTCTCAGTCTCCAGTATCTATGCTGCAATAGTCTATGTGCCGGGGGGCTAGGGTCAGTCTGTTATATCTGGTGTTATTCTCCTGTCTTATCCGGTGTCCTGTGTGAATTTAAGTATGCTCCCTCTAATTCTCTCTCTCTCCCTCCCCTCCCGGAGGACCTGAGCCCTAGAACCATGCCTCAGGACTACCTGGCCTGATGACTCCTTGCTGTCCCTAGTCCACCTGGTCGTGCTGCTGCTCCAGTTTCAACTCTTCTGCCTGCGGCTATGGAACCCTGACCTGTTCACTGGATGTGCTACCTTGTCCCAGATCTGCTGTTTTCAACTCTCTCTCTCTACCGCACCTGCTATTTCAACCTCTAAATGCCCGGCTATGAAAAGCCAAGTGACATTTACTCCTGATGTACTGACCTGTTGCAACCTCTACAACCACTATTATTTGACCCTGCTGGTCATCTATGAACGTTTGAACATCTTGGAGAAAAATCTGGCCTTAATGGCCATGTACTGTTATAATCTCCACCCGGCACAGCCAGAAGGGGCCTGGCCACCTCTCAGAGCCTGGTTCCTCTAGGTTTCTGCCTTTCTAGGGAGTTTTTCCTAGCCACCATGCTTCTACATCTGTATTGCTTGCTGTTTGGGGTTTTAGGCTGGGTTTCTGTATAGCACTTTGTGACAGCTGCTGATGTAAAAAGGGCTTTATAAATACATTTGATTGATTGATTGACTGCACTCTCTTACACTGGTTGGCAGGGTGTTCCATAATCCAGACGCTCTGACAGAAAAAGTTGCTGGCCAAATTTGTTGGACCTAAGTTATGGATGCAAGTTATGGATGCAACACGATAGGAGACATGGATAAGAAACTGACCTTTTCTCATGACATAGTTAAAGAACTGCATAATTGATATCCTGCCATATGGATCACTGTGGAGAAGTTTGGCATATACTCTGGCTGTGAAGAACTGCCTGGGAGCGAGAGGCGGGACAAAAAAACTGTTAGAATAATTCCACATTCCATTCCAAGATATAATGTCAAAAATGGTTAATGAGCTTAGTGTTCCATCTGCTTGTGACACACATAGTCCTGGGGTGTATTCATTAGTTGCACACCATTGCAAAACGTTTTACACTGCAGAAAAACATTTTGCAACGGAAACATTTACTCTAAACCAGGGATCATCAACTAGATGGGGGGGGCTGGGGGGCAAATAAAATCACTTACGGGCCAAATGAAATGAGAACTATGCTCTGCAACATGATGTAAAAGCTGTTGAATTCTGTTTAGTTTTAAATGGAAATTCATTATTTTGAAGCAGGGCGGCAGAGAGAAACGCATATGAACTAAAACTTCCCTTAAAGAACGAAATGGAACTCAACAGCTTTTACATCCCATTGCAGAGTGTTGGGAATGAAAAACGTTCTGCTACAGTGCAAAACGTTCTGCTACGATGTGCGACTAATAAATCCACCCCTAGTTTACACATACAGTATGTCTCATCATGGTATTCATGTTGCATTTTCACACCAGCTAAAATAATGCTTTTGGAATAATGTAAATGTAAACAGTGGTAATTCTGCTCATGTGATTAGCACACTTTGTGGCTCCAAAATCACTAATATGCCGAGTACTCACTTGCACTTTACTCCTGCTTTTTCTCCAACCTTTAGAAAACTGTCATAGCTTATCATCGCCTCCTCTCCTGTCATGGGTGGCACTTGATGTTTGTCCAGCAGAAACCACAGGTTCTAGATAACAGAAAGAAGGTGTAGGTTAAATAATTAGGTTTGATTACTTTAATAGTGCCATGGACTTTTACAAGATTCCAGTGCTTGTAAATCTTTCTATTTGACTAAATATTTGTTTGATTGAGCCAGATGTCAGTCTCACCTGTAACTCCTCATTGTCCAGAAGCTCCCGGCTCTTCCTCTGCAGAAAGACGGCTCTGGACTCCTCTCGCAGCTTTTGCAGGAGAACTTCATCCTCTGCAGGCAGCTATAGGGATCACACAGATATAAGACTTCAGAGATCATTATCATTTCAGCCCCTCACAAAAGATATTCAGTCCCGTTTGGCTCAGTTGGTAGAGCATGGCACTTGCAACGACAATGTTGTGGGTTTGATTCCCACAGGAAAAAAGTATGGAAATGTATGCACTCATACTGGAAGTCGCTCTTGATAAGAGCATCTGCTAAATGACTAAAATGTTTTTTTTTAAATTGACACACGTTGTGAATATCACAGTTGGTATAAAGATGTTAAAACAAACAAAGAAAGAAACTGATCTGATTAGTTAGCTAGAATGTTAGTTAGATTCAGTCAGAATGTTCAATTGCCCTGTAGTAGAAGCGTGGAATGTTCCTGTAGTTCTCTCTGTTGCCTCCTCCCCTCCACTCTGTGTAGAATTTAGTGAAGAGTTCTGTCTCTTCTGCTTTCTTCTCCTCCTCAGTCCTCTCATCTGAACATAAATGGATACATGTTGACACAATAAGGCTTTGTGAATGTTCAATAATTGAAATACTGCCAAGTGGGTGGATGGCTAGTTATCTAGTTTTTCTTACACACAAATAAATACGTAGCTAACTAGATATTCATAAATATGACTAACATTAGCTAGCTAACTAGCTATCTAAATAATCACAACAGATCTAGCTATCGACGCAGAAAACCTTTCTTGGAGGATGCCAATCTTCTTTTCAAAAGCTCCTTCCAATGTACTACCGTATCGTTTGACATTTTAACTTCTGTTTACTCCTAATAACATGAAAACAAGCTAATCAATGTTTCAGAGCTTCTCTGAAATGTCGAAACAATCGCTAGCTCGCTTGGGATTGGTTGGCAATCGACGTGACCTCTGAACTCCTCTGAACACAAATGTCACATAGTTATGACGACATGAAATGCGACTTTCTGATCACAGGCATTCCTTCTCCTGCAGGTGAATACTCCGTAAATTCTAATTTAGCTATATTATTTAGCAAAATGATCAGCCAAAACAATTGCATGCAGATTTTGGGTCACCTGACTCCTTGTCAAAAGAATAAACCCGGTATTATCAGCTGTTAACTGGTTGTCTACTTATAGGCAATGTCAACGGAAGTGTCTTGGCACTTCCAGCTAGCTAGCTAATAATATGCTAGTTTGAACTTCACTTAACTGTTTTTGGTTCAACAGAGGCATGAGACCGCACAGCTGACACTGACAGTGTGTACAAAATAATAATGTTAAAGTAGTTGGTATCGTCAACATATTTTCTGTAAAATATGGGCTCCTTCCTAATATCAAAACCAAGAAAATGTCAATTACATTAGCCCACACTTTCATCCCAGCAATGCTGGCTTTACTCCCCTAAATAATGTGATTAGTAAGCTATCAGGTAGTACCAGACTATTATGCACTAAAGGAGTGAGTAGACATGAAGGTACCAACAGGAAAGAGGACAGACAGAGGGACCTAAATATCAGAGAGAGGCCTCCTTTTCCCAAGTCAGTGAATACCAAAAGAAGAGGGCTGAGGCAGCCCTGCAGGAGGAGGAACCAGACTTCCCCAGAAAGAACAAGAGAGTGGAATCCCCAGACCACCCTCTCACTGCCTCAGAATGGGAGAGCCTCAAATTGACTTCACCGATCGCTTTGACGTCCGGATGATGGCATCAATGCTGGCCGATGGGACAAGTCCCTGCTGGACTACGTTTCCATGGATACCAGGACACTGTCTTATGAGCTGCTTCTACAATACCTCACCCTGTGTGTCGGCGGCGGCCACCACTTGTATGACATCATGAGGAGCCGGTTCATGACGTTAGACACCGGGGCCTCCAGCCTGTTCATAAAGGGCTTCAGTAGAACAGAAGGAGGCACTGACCATCCTAGAGAACATCAAGAGGGCCATCATGCCACTGCTTGGGCCCTGTATGCCGAGCTGATGGAGAAGGGCCTCATTCCCAACCAGGAGACATGGCAGGCCCTGTTCCAGTGTGGCCTCTCCTCTCTCGTCAGGGCCACGGGGACAGGCTGCAGTCCATCCTGCTCCATATAAGGGACAACCAGATCTATCCCATGGAGACTCTGGCTAAAGATATCAAAGCTTGGTTTGAGAGGTAAGTCCTGAATATAGGTTACTGAATAGGCCTACAATTACACAATATTATTGGGACAAAGCATGGGTTGTGCCTATTTTAGTTTGATGATGATATCTTCCTCTCTCCTGCCAATCTTCCAGACCAGAAGTGGAGTGGAAGCTGGTCCACCGTAGACCCCAGGTAATGACATAAACAGTCTCTTCATCCTCTTCATTAAACCATTAGACCTAATGAATTCAGAGTTTTAATCAGCACTTCATAGGTTACTTCTATAAGAAATCTAGATGGCTGAAATTATATTTTTACCTCTGACCTTTGCCCCCTGTAACCAGGGGATTGTGTCTGAGCTGCCAGGCAGAGCTGGAATTCATCCCGCTGAGTCAGGAGGAGTACGCCCAGCTCAAGGACAGGGTGATGGGGGATTTGATCCCAGGCAGAGACGTCTTAAATGAGACCACTCCAGAGGTTTGGGAAGCTCTTTTTCTTTCTTGTTTGTCTCCTTTGTGTCTTGTATCACCACACATTATGCAGATTGTCTACACTGCAGGTCAGCTTTATGTTATTTGTCAGCCAGTCCTTTTGAGTACAGTTGGTTGAACAAACACAACATGTAAAGGTAGACGGCAGAAAATATTTGCACTGAATATAATGGCCACTAGATAGTGCTAGTGTCGTGTTAAACTAATTCTGCACGATGTGAATTCAATTGGCAAAGTGTTAATATTGTCAAGCACTGCAGATTTCGCCTGCATTTCTCCAGATGCATGCAGTGAGATTTGCACTTAAAAAATAAAAATGTACTCTGGCAAATTTAGGTTTTGCATTGAACTGTTCCTTTTGGTGCTGGATGTTTGGGCAAACAAATCAGCCGGGAAATGCATTATTGCATGATACGGTGTTGTTCAGGGCTGATCTTGCTTTAGTCTTAGAGTTTTCTCTACTGATTAAAATAGCAAGATGTCCTCCAAAGAATCAGGCCTGTTTCACAATTAGATGAGAGGATGGGGATTTCCAGTTGCAGGACATGTCGCTGCCCTTGTCTCTCTCTGCATCCCTCAATGAGCCCGCTCATTGTCAGTCAGCACAGCCACACATTGCAAAGGCTGGTCAATATGTAGGTGACAAAATATATTCAGCCTTTACTGGCAAAGGCCTGTTGCACCTCATTGGCTGCGTTTAGACAGGCAGCCCAAATTTGATATTTTCTTTCACTAACGAGTCTTTTGACCAATCAGATCAGCTCAGAAAAAGAGCTGATGTGAAAAGATCTAATGTGATTGGTCAAAAGACCAATTAGTGGAAAAAATATCAGAATTGGTCTGCCTGTCTAAATGCAGTGTTTGATGATAGCTGCTTGTAGGCTCCTCTCAGGTCAAAATAATTGTACAGTATCTATCTTACCTCCATTTGTCACTGTTCCTATATGTGGTCATTTATGTTTCATCAATAAGAAATCTTCAGATGCATGGGAGGAAACATACAATGTATCTTATGTACCTAATGCTCCTTAGGGCTCAGACACACCAATAACATGTACGGTCTGAGAGTACTTAGCACCTCTGAACGTAAATTGCGCACCGATTTTACATGTAGAATTTTTGTGAAAATGTTTGCAGTCAGATGTCTACCGCAGGTGGTCCCTAAAACACAGTGCGCTGAACGATTGGCAGCGATGTGCGCAAGCCTTTATACACAATCAAACCTACAGACTTAGAACTACTGTGGGGAAAACACCTTGGGTTAATTCTGTTTTGGCTTAATGGGAGCATGGGAACTCCTTTTTGTACAGATACACAACATGACCAATGTGGACACCTGCTCGTCGAACATCTCGTTCCAAAATCATGGGCATTAATATTGAGTTGGTCCCCCCTTTTCTGCTGTAACAGCCTCCACTTCTAAGAAGGCTTTCCACTAGATGTTGGAACATTGCTGCGGGGACTTCCATTCAGCAACAAGCATTAGTGAAGGGCGGGCACTGATTTTGGGCAATTGGGCCTGGCTCGCAGTCGGCGTTCCAATTCATCCCAAAGGTGTTCGATGGCATTGAGGTCAGGGCTCAATGCAGGCCAGTCAAGTTCTTCCACACCGATCTCGACAAACCATTTCTGTATGGACCTCACTTTGTGCACAGGGTCATTGTCATGCTGAAACAGGAAAGGGCCTTCCCCAAACTGTTGCCACAAAGTTGGAAGCACAGAATTGTCTAGAATGTCATTGTATGCTGTAGCGTTAAGATTTCCCTTCACTGGAACTAAGGGGCCTAGCCCGAACCATAAAAAAACATCCCCAGACCATTATTCCTCCTCCACCAATCTTTACAGTTGGTACTATGCATTCGGGCAGGTAATGTTCTCCTGCCATCCGCCAAACCCAGATTCGTCCGTCGGACTGCCAGATGGTAAAGTGTGATTCATCACTCCAGAGAACGTGTTTCCACTGCTCCATAGTCCAATGGCGGCGAGCTTTACACCTTTACAGTCGCGCTTTGCATTGCGTGATCTTAGGCTTGTGTGCGGCTGTTCGGCCATGGAAACCCATTTCATAAAGCTGCCGACGAACAGTTCTTGTGCTGACGTTGCTTCCAGGGGCAGTTTGGAACTCGGTAGTGAGTGTTGCAACCGAGGACAGACGCGTTTCAGCACTCGGCGGTCCCATTCTGTGAGCTTGTGTGGCCTACAACTTTGCGGCTGAGCCGTTGTTGCACCTTGACATTTCCACTTCACAATAACAGCATTTACAGTTGACCGGGGAAGCTCTAGAAATTTGATGAACTGACTTGTTGGAAAGGTGGCATTCTATGACGGTGCCACTTTGAAAGCCACTGAGCTCTTCAATAAGGTCATTCTACTGCCAATGTTTGTCTATGGAGATTGCATGGCTGTGTGCTCGATTTTATACACTCGTTTTTTGTGACATGTTTATTTCTGGGCATAGCTTGGATATTTTTTTGCCTGCTGCAGTCATTAGCAGCACAATAGAGTTTCACATTTCAGCCCTCAATAGGCTCTCACATGAGTGACCCTGGAAAGTCCCTGCCTGCTCTGTGTTTGTGTGTGTGTGCGTGCGCATGTGTTTGTGGGTGGACTCTAACCCCCCTACATGAGTGAGTTGTTTATGAAGTGAAACCAGTGTGGGGCACCGAAAACGAACGCCTTCAGTCCTGGGGCTGGAGCGTTGCTCCTATGCAGCATCTATGTTTTCTTTTCAAGGTTCAACTTCTTTGTAAAGTGTGTCGCATGTAACAGTGCAAGAACAATGCATTCCAATGGAAAAGTATCTGTACCGTTTTTGTCTAGGATTCACAGATTTTAACCCACTCATTATGGTCTCTCTGCAGTGCAGCACTGCTTTGTATATTTATTTATCTTTCTGTCCCAATCAATACTTTGAGGTAAAGGCATGGCATAATCTTACACTGACAATTAGGCCGAAGAGTTTATGGTAACATTTTGCAGCAACTTGACAGGGTGGTAGAATATAGAACCCAGCAGTAGAACCTAACACAACCTGTTCCTTTTGCTTTAGACTAGACACTACTAGGTCACAGACAGACAGATGGGTGGAACAGCCAAAGTTTTATCTACAACTTTTGTTGGGGGATTTTTGTAGAATAGTTATGTGGAATGTCGCTGTGTAGCCTAATGCATTTAAGATGTAGGCTCTTCGGTGCTTTTAGACATTTAATCTTGCAGATAAGCAGTTGATAAAATTGTTTCTCCGATTTTTTCCACATGGAAAACTTAGTTGTGCAAGAACAATGAAGAAGAGCCATCAAATGTGAAAGAATCTCTTCCTACTAGGGAGAAACTCTAAGGGTACACCCAGGCATCTCCCCATACTCAATCAGGCAGTTTGAGGAGACTGTCATTGAGTGTGACTGGGTCCCATGCTCTGCCAAACCCTTTCCCTCCACAATGGAACTAGAGTGGAGATTCATTGTCTCCGTCTCCATCAAACAAACGACATCCGTGACCCTACAACCTCTGAGAATTCCCAGTTCTTCTAGTCCCATTGTGCTACCTCAACTCTCCATGACAACTGTTGTTGCTGTGGGGAGTAGATTGCAACACAACAAGCTGTGTTAATAAGGTAGAGGTGAAGGAAATGTGAAAGTAACCTCGTCCCCAGGCTATTGGTCAACTATATGTTAACGTCCTGCTTTTATCCCAGAGGCCTGAACTAATTATGTATTTGAACACTTAATGAATATGAATGTCTATGGCCTGAAACCGGGCCTGAACATTTCTTGAATACTGAATGTTGTTTAATTTCAGAACTTTCTCCCTTCTGCACAAAATAGGGATTCCCCAAATATTCTTCCCCTTTCCGTTCCATACAGATTTCTCACTGCAATGCTGTTAATAATAGTAGTAATAATTGTAGCTGACGCTACAAGGGACAAGTTTGTTACCTGCAAAGTCACTAGCTTTAGCCAAATAGGCTACAGATCTTTATAGCATTATTATCTGAATTTTTTATTCTCAAAGGTACAGTGCAATCAAGCAATTGGAGCCTACTTGAGGAATGGTTAGTATTTCCTGATGCAGATGCTAAGCTACAGGACTGTTTTGCAAGCAGACTGGAATATGTTCCGGGAATCTTCAGATAGCATTGAGGCGTACACCACATCAGTCACTGGCTTCATCAATAAGTGCATCGATGACGTTGTCCCCACAGTGACCGTACGTACGTACCCCAACCAAAAGCTATGGATTACAGGCAACATCCGCACTGAGCTAAAGGGTAGAGCTGCCGCTTTCAGGGAGCGGGACTGTAACCCGGACGCTTATAAGAAATCTCTCAATGCCCTCCGACGAACCATCAAACAGGCAAAGAGTCAATACAGGACTAAGATTGAATCGTACTACTCCGGCTCTGACGCTCGTCGGATGTGGCAGGGCTTGAAAACTATTACAGACTACAAAGGGAAGCACAGCCACGAGCTGCCCAGTGACACAAGCCTACCAGACGAGCTAAATCACTTCTATGCTCGCTTCGAGGCAAGCAACACTGAAGCATGCATGAGACCACCAGCTGTTCCGGATGACTATGTGATCACGCTCTCCGTAGCCGATGTGAGTAAGACTTTTAAGCAGGTCAACATTCACAAGGCCGGAGGGCCAGGCGGATTACCAGGACGTGTACTCCGAGCATGTGCTGACCAACTGGCAAGTGTCTTCACTGACATTTTCAACATGTCCCTGACATGTTTCAAGCAGACCACCATAGTCCCTATGTCCAAGGACACTAAGATAAACCTGCCTAAATGACTACCGACCCGTAGCACTCACGTCTGTAGCCATGAAGTGCTTTGAAAGGCTGGTCATGGCTCACATCAACACCATTATCCCAGAAACCCTAGACCCACTCCAATTTGCATACCGCCCCAACAGATCCACAGATGATGCAATCTCTATTGCACTCTACACTGCCCTTTCCCACCTGGACAAGAGGAATACCTACGTGAGAATACTATTCATTGACTACAGCTCAGCATTCAACACCATAGTGCCCTCAAAGCTCATCACTAAGCTAAGGACCCTGGGACTAAACACCTCCCTCTGCAACTAGATTCTGGACTTCCTGACGGACCGCCCCCAGGTGGTAAGGGTAGGTAACAACACATCTGCCATGATGATCCTCAACACGGGGGCCCCTCAGGGATGCGTGCTCAGTCCCCTCCTGTACTCCCTGTTCACCCATGACTGCATGGCAAGGCAGAACTCCAACACCATCATTAAGTTTGCTGACGACACAACAGTGGTAGGCCTGATCACAGACAACGATGAGACAGCCTATAGGGAGGAGGTCAGAGTCCTGGCCATGTGGTGCCAGGATAACAACCTCTCCCTCAACATGATCAAGACAAAGGAGATGATTGTGGACTACAGGGGAAAAAAGAGGACTGAGCACGCCCCCATTCTCATCGACGGGCTGTAGTGGAACAGGTTGAGAGCTTCAAGTTCCTTAGTGTCCACATCACCAACAAACTATCATGGTCCAAACACACCAAGACAGTCGTGAAGAGGGCACGACAAAGCCTATTCCCCCTCAGGAGACTGAAAAGATTTGGCATGGGTCCTCAGATCCTCAAAAAGTTATACAGCTGCACCATCGAGAGCATTCTGACTGGTTGCATCACCGCCTGGTATGGCAACTGCTCGGCCTCCAACCGCAAAGCACTACAGAGGGTAGTGCGTACGGCCCAGTACATCACTGGGGCCAAGCTTCCTGCCATCCAGGATCTATATAACAGGCGGTTTCAGAGGAAGGACCTAAAAATTGTCAAAGACTCCAGCCACCCTAGTCATAGACTGTTCTCTCTGCTACCGCACGGCAAGCGGTACCAGAGCGCCAAGTCTAGGTCCAAAAAGCTTCTCAACAGCTTCTACCCCCAAGCCATAAGACTCCTGAACAGCTAATCATGGCTACCCAGACTATTTGCACTGCCCTCACACCCCCACCCCATCCCCCTCTTTTACGCTGCTGCTACTCTGTTTATTATTTATGCATAGTCACTTTAACTCTACCCACATGTACACATTACCTCAATTACCTCGACTAGCCGGTGCCCCCGCACATTGACTCTGCACCGGTACCCCCCTGTATATAGCCTCCCTACTGTTATTTTACTGCTGCTCTTTAGTTATTTGCTTTTGTTCTTTAACCAACAATGCCTTTTTTAATTTATTTTTTAAGGTAAGTAAGCATTTCACTGTAATGTCTACACCTGTTGTATTCGGCGCATGTGGCAAATACAATTTCATTTGATTTCACAAGGGTATACAGTACTGTTGTTCTGGTGGACTTTGAGGTTTGTGTTGGGGTGTGGCGGGGGATTTCTCAGGCTATTTGCATCGCAGAGACAAAGAACTGAAAGTACTGGCCTGTTCCCATGGCTACAGTATTGTATAATAGACACTTATAAAACATGATTCGTTGAACAATGAATGGACTCTGCAGTGTCCTACTGTAATCTACTGTCTGTAGGCTGCAGTTGGTCAGTCTCGTTGCATTCTCTGGAAACATGGGGAACGTATTTGTGAATGTGATTAAATCCTTTTTTTTAAAGAAACATTTTAATTCAAAATACTTTAGATTTAGACATGAATGACCAGTATTTACCAACCTCCTACCAATGAAACATGTAAATGGAACTATATTTCCTATGCAGCAGTGACGGCAACATGAGAGACCTATGCATGCATATATACAGTGTACAATGTATATGATAGACAGACCGGTAGAGGGGTTGGCATGTGTTGGCATGTGGCCCTGCCAGAAATTCCCCCACTGTACTGTGTACTGCCAGACTCATATCTGGAGCTGGTCCAGATTCCCATTGAAACGGAAACAAGGAAAGAAAAACAAGACGAAAGGGAAGGCCTGGCTGTGGAGTTCAGTAAATATTGACCAAGTCTTGCCCTGTTACTAAAGTTCATCCTTGTTGTGTATGGTCAGGCATGCAACGTGAGCTGGTGCTTCTGACTTTAAAGTCTGTTTTTGTCATGAAGTAATATTGTTCCAGCATGTGAATCCCCCCCACCCCCTTTATATTTCCCCTTAGATATGATATTTGATAGCTGTGAGACATTTTAAAAGCATCATAAAAATTACAATATTACATATGATATGCACAAACATTTAAAATGGAAGCACAAAGCATTTCACCAGATATTTAAACCAGTAGCTTGTGAAACCAAATGTTTCTCCCTCTCCTAGGAGCTGGAGAGCTTCAAGAACTTTGTCAAGTGGAAGCCGGCCTTTGTCGTGGTCATAGATGGACTCAACGTTGCCAACATGTGCATCAAAGGGAACCAGTCGCAGATGGTGAGTGCTCTGCCAGATCTCTCATATCTGGCGGTGTGAATCCAGAATATATAATTGTCATGAGTTAAGGCAAGGCCTTGACTATTTTCTTAAGGCAGCGACCTGCCAAACTCAATGGAACAACAATCCAAGCAAGATGGTACGGAATGTTCAGAGCCTAGGTTGGCACTGTTGATCTGACCATAAGATTCGACACATAAGGTTGAGATGTGCTATTGATGTGGCTTCTGTAGTGCTATTAGACTGCACCCGATGGAATCTCCAAGTCCCAGTCCTGCCCTCTCCTGCCCTGCCCTGTACTGCCCAGCCCTCTCCTTCCCAGCCCTCTCCTGCCTTGCCCTGCCCTCTCTGCAGTAGCTATTTGATTAGAACATAATGCACACCCACCGCTGGTGTTACCACTTCCAGTTGGCAAGGCAACAGCTCATGTTAGTGTGTTTAGGTTCATGCTGACTCAATGTTAGTCTTCCTCTGTCTTCCAAACTAAGCAAACCATAGTCCGTGACACTCAAAAAGCAATCGCCATATACAGGGGGTGGATTTCCTAAATCTGGACTTTTTATATTACTTGAGTGGTCGAGCATCAGTCATCATCATTAAAGTAAATACTCTCAAACATTAGTTGGGTTGAATCTGTGGGAGAAAAGTACTTGTTGATTTTCCAATATAAAGAATAAGGCTTGAATCACTGAATATTACCTAATTCATAGTTACAGAATGGTATATTTGTGACTCAGTACAATAAGTAATTCTGAACAGGATGTACGGTATCTCCATCTCTCCTGTTGCCACTAGTGGGTGATATGGAGCACAGCAAATATAGATTCATAGATTAACATTAAGATCACTTTATTGGTCAGTTGCACACAAGGTCTAACCAAAATGCGATTTCTGCTTTTAACCTAACCCCTCAGAAAGATACATATACAGGTTTTGGAGAGGTGCGGTTGGCTGCCACACTGGGCGCCCAAGGAGCTGTTGTTGTGGGGGGTTGCTCAAGAGCACAACTGCAGGCAATGGCATCTAGGGTCTCTAACCGTTAGGCTACCTGCCTCCCCCTCGAATAGACCCCTCGGATAGAGCCAAATACAAATAGCCTGAAAGGGAACATCTTGAATTTCAATGAAGTGACTTAGTTGTAATGCCAGTCCACATAAGGTACCCATGTTCTTCCCCCACTTGAGACAAAGTGGAGATGGCATTGTCACAGCTGCAGGGTGATGTGGGAGGCTGTTGTTTAGAACGGATCCTGTGGGAAAGATGGGTATATTGTTTTCATAGCCGAACATAGCCTAACCATACTCTGTGGGTTTCTATCTGTGCTCTGTAAGCAGAACCCTCAGTCACCACAGAGTCTGACCACACAGTGTGATTTAATAATGACACTCCTTTTCCTCCCTCCACCTCCCCACAGCTGTGTAGCATGTTGTTTCTCTGACAGGTGAAGTGAGCAGGAGGGACTGTGGCCTCAGGTCACTGACTGCATAGAGTAGATATGAATCACCTGTTCCCGGTTTCAAATACAGGACTTCTGTGTTTGTATAAGTGCAGCACAGGGAGTTTTATTTCAGCACACCTACAGACCCTGATGCCTTATTGAGGGGGGTTTCTCTCCGGTTCTCACATGACTAATATCAGTATTTCAAGTGTGTGTATGTGGTAAACTTTATGTGTGGTGGTGACTTCCATCCCAGTTTTGAGCCACATATCCCCAACCCACGCGTCTGTAGCCTCAACCACATCAAACAACCAGACATGTAGGCATTTTTGTGTGTGAAACAATTAACCTACTATTAACAGTTATTTGCAATAAGCAATGACATTTAATATAGAAATGATTGTGTAATTAAATAATTATTCATGATTTATTTATTCTTGCTAGAAGAGAGAATGAGAAAGTGAAATGGATACAACAATGAGATGAGAAGTATAAATGACTTCAGGTTACAGGTTAAAGTTCATGGCTCTTTTCTCATGCTTTACTTGGTAAACCTTATACCTGCTGCTCCAAGCTTACTTCCCCCATGATGAGTTAACAGAAAATAGCCACACCCACCGGCTGTTCCCAGGTCAACACTTCCTCATCTAGAGTGGACAGAAAGAGAGGTGTGGTTAGGGCTGTTGCTGTGACCAGATTTTCCTCCACACCTGCAGTCATGAGTCATGACCCCGGTAAAATTCTACGTGACCATTGAGTCATGGAAATCTTATTTTATGCACTCTGGACATGCATTAGTAGTACCCAACTCGCTAACGATCATCAGGTAGCTAATGGCCTGGTACTCAGGGCTCTATTGTCCCTCTTACCACTGACATCAATGCAAATGCAATCGAAAAGCACATCAAACACTTATAATCAAAACAGTATGTGCTTTTAAAACTCAGCTCACTGTCATTCATCAATTTGAAGAAAGAAGTTCAATAACAGGTTGAAGCTGAGTGGAAAACATGGTCATTGTGGATATTGTTTCAAAGCCTAACACAATGAAATGGACAGCACTTTCTAATGTGATGATTCATTCCAAACACCCATATGCATATTATACCTTATGCATAGGCCGATATACAGTGCATTCAGAAAATATTCAGACCCCTTGACTTTGTCAAAATTTTGTTACGTTACAGCCTTATTCTAAAATGGATTAAATGATTTTTTCCCCTCCTCAATCCACACACAATACCCCATAAAGACAAAGTGAAAAGGTTAGCAAATGGATAAAAAAAATCAGAAATACGTTATTCAGACTCTTTGCAATGAGACTCGAAATTGAGCTCAGGTGCATCCTGTTTCCATTGATCATCCTTGGGATGTTTCTACAACTTGATTGGAGTCCACCTGGGGTAAATTCAATTGATTGGACATGATTTGGAAAGGCACACACCTGTCTATACAAGACAATGCAGGAGTGGCTTCGGGACAAGTCTCTGAATGTCCTTGAGTGGCCCAGCCAGAGCCCAGACTTGAACCCGATCGAACAGACCTGAAAATAGCTGTGCAGCGATGCTCCCCATCGAACCTGACAAAGTTTGAGAAGATCTGCAGAGAAGAATAGGGAGAAACTCTCCAAATACAGGTGTGCCAAGCTTGTAGCGTCATACCCAAGAAGACTCCAGGCTGTAAACGCTGCCAAAGGTGCTTCAACAAAGTACTGAGTAAAGGGTCTGAATACTTATGTATTCCAGGTGAGAGTAAAAGGGAGATGGAGCTTGGTTATTTATTACAAATCAATGCATAAATTAATGTTGTCTACATGAGGACCTAAAAGGAACATTGATAAAGAAAGAAATACAAGGCATGTGTATGTTTGAGGTTATTATAATTCTTGTGGTGTTCTGTTACTTTTTTCCAGAGGATATCAAGTTATGACACCATTGTCCAGACAAATGGAAGCTCCTGGCACATCCACTATGATGAGACTGGGGCAGAGGAAAGGACCCTGCTTCTGTTTGATCTTCACAAACCGTAAAATACAGTGTTCCTTAATGAAACTCTATAACGTGAAAAAATTATTTAAAAAAGACTCAATCACTTTTAGTCCTAGATTATTAAAAAAAATTAAACATGTATTCAGTAAAAGTGTGTAAACCACGCCCCTTCGATTGACCCAGACATTAATCTACTGTTTCCGAGAACTACTTCCGGTGGTCATTGTCGTGCTTTTTTTCCCCCCCCTGAGCAGTTCTAGTTTCAGTTTGAACTTTTATACAAATTTACTTGTTTACCAACACAATGTCCAGAGGGTCGAGTGCAGGATTTGACCGACATATTACCATCTTCTCTCCGGAGGGCAGACTCTACCAAGTCGGTTAGTATGGGATCGTTATGAAGAAATGAAAGAATACTAACTTGCCCAGTCATCACCGGTAGCAAACAAACGTAAACTAGTAGCTAGCTAGCTAGTAATGTTAGCTAGCTAGCTTAAGGAACTGGTTACTTAAGTTAAACATTATCTCTAGCTAGCTGTTTTATTATGTCAGTGAATGGATAAAGGATGTTAACATTGTCAGATCCTAACGCTTAAGTAATTGAGTAGGCTTGCTAGCTAGTAGCTAATCAATTAGCAAGTTAGCCAGCTAAGTAGCTAACCTAGCTAACGTTCAAATTTAAAATATGTCAACAGTTCATGCTGCGCTTGAAGTTCGCTAACTTAAGAACTACTCGTGTAACGTTATTTGACAGAAGTAGACACTTTAACAAGTAACGTTATAGCTTATGGCTATAGGAAGTTAGCTGTCTAGTAAGGAGTTGTTGAACATTTTGTTATTGTCATTCGTGGAGTGACTTGGCTGCAGTTACAGCCTTGGTCAGAGCCCCCTCTTTTGTGGTGAATGGCCTCCATCATGGCTATGAATCTGTTATCTCTCACCTAACCTAAAAAACAGTCTGGAGTGATGCATCATTTTTTCCTGTTCTGTTTATTTCCCCAGAATATGCATTCAAGGCTATCAATCAAGGTGGCCTTACCTCATTAGCTATCCGAGGACAAGACTGTGCAGTTGTAGTCACACAGAAGAAAGTTCCAGTAAGAACACCCTTCATGACTAATTCATTACTCTGTTATCTATATGCAAATGACATGTTATGGGCTGTAATGAGATGGACTCTTAAATCTCTCCCACAGGACAAGCTTCTTGATGCCTCCACAGTCACACACCTATTCAGAATCACAGAAAACATTGGCTGTGTCATGTCTGGAATGACGGGTGAGAAACATTTTAATGTTGAAATATCCAATACACACTGAATATTAACTTCATGGAGTGTATTAATACATTTCTGTAATAATGACTAATAATCACAGATTCATTTGTGTTCAGCTGACAGCAAGTCTCAAGTCCAGAGAGCTCGCTACGAAGCAGCCAACTGGAAGTACAAGTACGGTTATGAGATCCCAGTGGACATGCTGTGTAAGAGGATGGCTGACATCTCTCAGGTGTACACACAGAACGCTGAGATGAGACCTCTGGGTTGCTGTAAGTGTTACAATTTTGTCTCAATTTTTTTTTATACCAGTGTAGCTCAGAAGTTTGAAGATTCTTCAACTATAAGCGGTTTCAAATTATTGGAGGTGAACAAAACCTGCTGGTTTAAAATGAACAGTACGACTGTTGTTCCTCACTAATAAAAACGACAGGACAGCAGAGTCCCTGCCCATCTTCTGAAAACCCTACCTTAAATAAGACATCTGTCTTATCCCCCCTCCCCCTACAAAACTGCACTTCTCTTTTCCTACTTGCACTGACTTTGCTGATAACTTCTTTGAGGAAAAATGTACTTATTACGGCTGTGATGTGGTTCTCACCTACCTATCTTAAGACGAATGCACTAACTGCAAGTCGCTCTGTATAAGAGCATCTACTAAATGACTAAAAAGTTTTGAAAAGTGCAGAGTAAGAAAGTTGCATTCTTAGCTAAGATGCTTTTAGTTTTGGCCTTCAGACTCACTTAATGCATTGTTTTTTAAATCCATTGTTGCAGGCATGATAGTGATTGGTGTGGACGAGGAGTGTGGTCCCCAGGTGTATAAGTGTGACCCTGCAGGATACTACTGTGGCTTCAAGGCCACTGCTGCTGGGGTCAAACAGACAGAGGCCACCACCTTCCTGGAGAAAAAGGTCAAGAAGAAACTGGACTGGACCTTCGCGCAAACAATTGAGGTAAAATACCATACCCCTTGGCATGTAGAATAATACAAACTAAATGAGCAAACTAGTCCCCTTTGAAGTAGTTTGAGTTTCATCCTCTTCTGTTTACAGACTGCGATAACTTGTTTGTCTACGGTACTGTCCATTGACTTCAAGCCCTCCGAGCTAGAGATTGGTGTCATTACAACTGAAGACCCTAAATTCAGGTGAGTCCATGGGAATTGTTTAATAGTGATGGAACTTTTCAAAGCTTGGTGCAGAAAATAACATAGTAAATAGAAATGTCATCTGAAATTTTATCTTTTTTTGTTTGTTTATTGTGTAATCACCAAGTATACACTGGACAGAAATGGGTTACGTACAAAGAACCAGGCATCAGCAGAATCAGTATTTGTCTCCTTCTCCATTTACAGGATCCTGACAGAGACCGAGATCGATGTCCACCTTGTGTCCCTGTCAGAGCGAGATTGAGTTTTTCCTTATGTTCCAGTCTAGAGGGGAGACTACCCTAGAAAGATAACAGAGAGCACTACCACTGATCTTCAGAACGGAAGTCCCGACTTCTTTTTTGCTGTACATTTACGCTGTTCAATTAAAGAGAATGTTTTTGAGAAACTCAAATCCTGGTAGGTTTTCTTTCCCCATATAGATATGGTGCATAGATCCAAAGCCTTATTCTGACCGTTATTTGACACCATGAGTGTGTGTGTGCTATAGAAATCCCTGAATGTTATTTTACTTAATAACAAAGGCAAGTGGTTTCAGATCTTTTTAAATAAATTATTGACCACACTAGTAGCTTGTGAGATTACTCAACAGCTCAGTACATTAGTGATGCAATACAATAATATTTGAAGGAAGTTGAGCAATGGGATTGAAGATCCCCTTAATACCTGTTCTAGACTGCTGGTTGTGCAACATTCTTGAAGTGGTTGTAAGCAGATGTGCATTATAAACTTGATACTCACATCCTCAATATCTTATCAGATTTTTAGCAATCACCTCAAATTACCTAATCTTTGACGACAACCCGTTTCCTCAAGCAGCACATCTATCGTAGCTCTTTCCCTTCCTTACGACAGGTTCTACAGTGCATTCGGAAAGTATTCAAACCCCTTCCCTTTTTCCACATTTTGACAAGTTACAGCCTTATTCTAAAATGGATTAAATAAAACATTTTCCTCATCAATCTACACGCAATACCCCATAATGACAGTTTAAAAAAATTACATTTACATAAGTATTCAGACGCTTTGCTATGAGACTTGAAATTGAGCTCCGTTGCATCCCGTTTCCATTGATCATCCTTGAGATGTTTCTACAACTTGATTGGAGTCCACCTGTGGTAAATTCAATTGATTGGACATGATTTGGAAAGGCACACACCTGTCTATACAAGACAATGCAGGAGTGGCTTCGGGACAAGTCTCTGAATGTCCTTGAGTGGCCCAGCCAGAGCCCAGACTTGAACCCGATCGAACAGACCTGAAAATAGCTGTGCTGCGATGCTCCCCATCGAACCTGACAAAGTTTGAGAAGATCTGCAGAGAAGAATGGGAGAAACTCTCCAAATACAGGTGTGCCAAGCTTGTAGCGTCATACCCAAGAAGACTCCAGGCTGTAAACGCTGCCAAAGGTGCTTCAACAAAGTACTGAGTAAAGGGTCTGAATACTTATGTAAATGTTTTTTTTTTTCTCCTGGGTATTGTAAATATACATTTGCAAAGATTTCTAAAAACTTGTCTTTGCTTTGTCATTATGGGATATTGTGTGTACATTGATGAAGGGGTAAAAACGTTTTAATCCATTTTAGAATAAAGCTGTAACAAAATGTGGAAAAAGTCAAGGGGTCTGAATACTTTCCCCTTCATGAAGACAGTCTGGATTTTCCATCCGAAGGCTTTGTCATTTCACCTTGTCATGCCGAGTCATATGAGCCTCTCTTATTCCCCCTCGGGACTCGTTTCTGAATGGCCTGGCTGTCCCTCTGTTTCCTGATCACTTAGGGCTTTGAGGGAGCATGCTATGACTAAATAATTTGCCTTCACCTGCAGATGTTTCTTTGAGAATGCACCACTGAAAAGTAGAGCGACAGGGCAAAATTACTCATCTTTGTAGTATGAACACTAGTAGCTCAGTGGTAGATTCCCATGAGCTTTTAAGCTTGTACTTATACGCATGACGATAACCACACTGACACTAGTCTCAGATTTTTACAAGATTGTTTGTACACACACACAGATAATCAAAGTTACTGTATAGTCCCGGGTAGCTCAGTTGGTAGAGCATGGCGTTTGCAACGCCGGGGTTGTGGGTTCGATTCCCACGGGGGCCAGTATGGAGAAAAACAATTTATGCACTCACTAACTGTAAGTCACTCTGGATAAGAGCGTCTGCTAAATGACTAAAATGTATATCCCTCATCACGTGACCTTTGTTAATCACATTATACAGCTGAGAGTTCCTCATGTCTGGAATGCTCTTGACTCCCCAGGGAAGTGTTTCACCGCTGCCAGTTTTGGCCCCGCCCTTACAGGAAATGCCAGTATACTCAGCTATTATAACAATACTAATTACCTATACAAGTCTATGGATAGATGTTACAGCTCATCATATGGCTGTGACTCATTCACAAGCCTGATAGACCAGTGTCTTGGGACTTGAGTCCCTTATTCTGTTCAGGCATTGGTGATATGCCATTTTATCTGCATAATAGTGTGTTAGACTTGAACACTGACCTTTCAGCATCTGTGTAATTTATTTAACATATTAGCATGATTCAGTCTCATAGAGAGGATGATTGATGTTCTGAAAAAGTACTGTATTTTTTCATCAATCTCCCACAGATGGAAAAGCACTAGAAATCAAGGCAATGTTAAACATGTATTGTTTTAATTTAGTGGAGTGTGTGGCTTGCTTTACCTTTCCACAAGCAATGGAAAGCATTTACAATATTGTCAAACTTTACGCATTAAAAAATATATAAATATTTGTATTCACATCCATTTACAGTATAATACATGCAGGTGTTATTACATCGTTGGTTGGATGTATGCTTTGTGATAATGAGTCTCTTTCAGAGCCATAAATACTTATTTATTGGCATCCATTTTGTTTATTTGGCATCTTCTCATTGGTTCACACTGTCCATCATCACTATGTCAGTCTGGGGTGTTGTACCCCTGCTGTACCAGTCTTCTGTCATCCTCTTCCTCTGAGGTTGGCACCACTGCTGGGCATGCAACTGTACCAAAGCTAGAGCCTGTGCACAGATGAGCTTCTCTCTCTGTCGGTACTACTGTTCTTTGGAGGTTCTGTGGTCTACTTCTTACTTGCGCCCATTCCATTGAATGTCATCATACCAACATGTCACCTGCTAAAGGAAAGGAGAAGGTGGATTAGAGCCAAAGTTAATTGATGACTATCTAAAACATCTAATCTGCTCGGTTCATTCATGACATACAGCTAGATATGCTAAACTGTTTTCACAGCTCAGTATCACTACAGAACTATATGGCAAAACCCTACCCTACATATTAATCACACACAGTAGCGATGCTTCACAAACTCACAGAGTTAAGTCACACTCACCTCTTCATCATCAGACTGTCCCTCTTCCTCACTGTCCTCAGACTCACTGTCTGGCAGTTCTCTCAGCTCCTGAGCCGTCAGCTCATACAGTTCCCTTTGGATGGCGGCGTTCTGGCGTCCGTAGGTCAGGTGGTATGGCGTGTGACCTCCATAGGTCAGGCTGTTGACGTTCGCCCCATTACTGACCAGGAGCAGCACCAAGTCCAGGTTCTGTAGGTCAACAGCCAGGTGGAGAGGGCTGCGGCCATTGCACTGCTCCTGTAACACCAAGGGACAAACAAGTGCCAAATAAGTTAACGGGAAATACACATCATTTGAATGCTTTTTATTAAATGTGGATGACATAATGAAATGAGTGGACTATTGTGAGGGTAGGGTTGAAGAAAAACTTAAGTTGTTGCATAGCGTACCTGTGCATCGATGTCAGCTCCGAGAGCAACAAGGCTCTCCACTAGCGAGAGGTAGCCATGGATAGAGACCAGATGCAAACAGTTCTGACCTGAAACAGAGAGCAGAGGAAGACCAATGGTCAGAGAACAGGATAACACTTTACATTAAGTTGTGTAGTAACTGTAATTACTGCAGTTGTTAAACATTAATTTAGTAATTGCTTAGTTTCAGTATGGCCACAGGTTCCCCACCAGTTGAAATAAGTAACAGAAAATAGACTACACGTTTCTTACCACTGTAATTTGGCATGGCCATGATGGCTGGGAGCTGGGTAGAGCAGCCCTGGGTTTGGGTGAGGACACTGAAGCAGGTGAGAGAGCCCTTCCTGCAGGCGATGTGAAGGGCCGTGTTGCCACTGCTGTCCACTAGCGTGGGGTCACAGCCAGCCTTCAGGAGACGCTCCACTATCTCAGCCTGCTCTGTGATCACAGCCAGGTGGAGAGGAGTCTGTATGGGGGAGGAGGAGCGATATGGTTAGGAACTGGAAGTATGGGTCTCACACACAAACCTTTTATTGTATGTGTGCATCTACTTCACTCGCTCTCTCTCGTACATACACATACACCTTGTATTCTACCTATGCATCTATTTGTGCAGGTTTTAGCAGTATTTACCTGTCTCTGGTAGTTATGTTGATTGAGGAAAGGCTCATTGCATGACAGCTCTATCATCTTCCTTGCACAGTCCTTGGCTTCATGGATAATGGCAAGGTGGAGAAGCCTGCATAGATTTAAAAAAAAAAAAAAAAAAAAAGGGGATTTATTTTTTAAATGCTCAGATTACTCAACAAAAAAATGAACATGAATATGACATGTAGGGGGTTACATTTTTGAATGAGAAAACGGCAGCACTTCATAGGCGTCACACTTTCTTCCCCTCAAGCTATTTCTACTAGTGGTGGCTTGACGCACTGGCGTGCGTTGCTGCGCGTGGTTTCTGGCACGAGGCCTGGGACTTTCCCGGCTGGAGCAAAGTGTGAGCGCTGCCTATTTGACCCCCAGCCATAGTACATTCCGTTCTGATAGTCTTTTGTTAACGTAAAGTCCACAATGACCATAATATTCACTCTGACGGTAACTCCCCCCAATACATTCCTTGTGCATTGTTTAGAAGCTGCTTTGCATGCAAATGCAATAACTTTTGCACACAGGAAGACACCACAATTGCGCAAAAATTACTCAACTACACAAATATGCGTTCATTTGTTTTTATATTGTCACATACACCGGATAGGTGCAGTGAAATGTGTTGTTTTACAGGGTATTGCATAGTAGTAAGGCGCCCCTGCCGCAAAATAGAGTTAAGTGCCTTGCTCAAGGGCACATCGATTGATTTTCACATTGTCGGCTCGGGTATTCGAACCAGGACCTTTCGGTGACTTGCCCAACGCTCTAACCTTTAGGCTACCTATATAGCGTAGAAATAACAAAAATAATGCATTATTTATAGTAGACTTGGACATGGAAAAAATACTTGAATGTCCACAGATTTGATTATAGTTTCTCAACGTACGTGTCTCCATCCTCTGAAACTTGTTCCTTCCACGGTTCATTGCTGCATTCGTCTCTCTGCGGTGGGGAACAATCCACACGAAGACGCTCGAGCTCACCGGCGACAACTTTATATTCCTCTTCTTTGAGAGAGTCGAGGCCACTGTCCAGCCGCTCTTCATTGATAGATTTCACTTTTTCATCCTTAGAATGTCGACCATCAGTATTACAATCCATGTGGTTGAGGATACTCGCTCGATGAAGGTCCATTGACACTGGCTGCTGTGTTGGTTGTCATTCAGAACTTTACATGCACCAGCATTAAATTATAATAGTGCTCGAGGGGGAGGAGTTAACACAGGGTGGGGGATTTCCAGGCGGATTGCAGACTCTCACATATTGCAGACTATATTTAAATTCTTCATTTCCATACTAAACATACCGTTTAGCCAACATGAAACGAACCCCCTTAAAAAACCAACATATTAGGTTTATGTTAGAACATTGCAGAGGGCATTTTAAGTTTTATTTAGAAATGTGCATAATCCTACATAAAATGCAAAGAATAGCCTAAATAAAACCAAAACAATTCACTCATGAAATTGATTAAAAGTAAACAAAATATAATTTAGCCTGATTATAATGCATGGAGTTGGCTACTTGCAGAATAGATCATATAGCCTATTGGCTGGGTAGGCCTGTCAATACGTTCTATTTTTTTAAATATTTCATCCCTCTGTACAATGATAGGCCTAATTACATAATACATTTTAGTCATTTAGCAGAGCGACTTACAGTTAGTGAGTGCATACATTTTTATTTTATTTTCATACTGGCCCCCCCATGGGAATCGAACCCACAACCCTGGCGTTGCAAACGCCATGCGCTACCAACTGAGCTACACGGGACTAATGACAGACAGAGCTGCATTACAATTAGGAAATATTCAAAGGGAACTCCTGTGTCTACTTACAGTGCATTCGGAAAGTATTCAGACCCCTTGACTTTTTCCACATTTTGTTATGATGCAGCCTTATTCTAAAATTGATTAAATCGTTTTTTCCCCCTCATCAATCTACACACAATACCCCTAATGACAAAGCAAAAACAGGTTTTTAGAAATGTTTGCAAATGTATTTAAAAAATGAACTGAAATATCACATTTACATAAGTATTCAGACCCTTTACTCAGTACTTTTTTGAAGCACCTTTTACAGCCTCGAGTCTTCTTGGGTATGACGCTACAAGCTTGGTACACCTGTATTTGGGGAGTTTCTCCCATTCTTCTCTGCAGATCCTCTCAAGCTTTGTCAGGTTGGATGGGGAGCGTCGCTGCACAGCTATTTTCAGGTCTCTCCAGAGATGTTAGATCGGGTTCAAGTACGGGCTCAGACTAGGCCACTCAAGGACATTCAGAGACTTGTCCCGAAGCCAACTCCTGCGTTGTCTTGGCTGTGTGCTTAGGGTCGTTGTCCTGTTGGAAGGTGAACCTTCACCCCAGTCTGAGGTCCTGAGTGATCTGGAGCAGGTTTTCATCAAGGATCTTTCTGTACTTTGCTCTGTTCATCTTTCCCTCGATCCTGACTAGTCTCCCAGTCCTTGCCACTGAAAAACATCCCCACAGCATGATACTGCCACCACCATGCTTCACCGTAGGGATGGTGCCTGGTTTCTTCCAGACGTGACACTTGGCATTCAGGCCAAAGAATTCAATCTTGGTATCATCAGACCAGAGAATCTTCTTTCTCATGGTCTGAGAGTCCTTTAGGTGCCTTTTGGCAAACTCCAAGCGGGCTGTCATGTGCCTTTTACTGAAGAGTGGAATCCGTCTGGCCACTCTACCATAAAGGCCTGATTGGTGGAGTGCTGCAGAGATAGTTGTCCTTCTGGAAGGTGCTCCCATCTCCACAGAGGAACTCTGGAGCTCTGCCAGAGTGACCATCGGGTTCTTGGTCACCTCCCTGACCAAGGCCCTTCTCCCCCGATTGCTCAGTTTGGCCGGGCGGCCAGCTCTAGGAAGAGTCTTAGTGGTTCCAAATGTCTTCCATTTAAGAATTATGGAGGCTACTGTGTTCTTGGGGACCTTAAATGCTGCAGAAATGTTTTGGTACCCTTCCCTAGATCTGTGCCTCAACACAATCCTGTCTCTGAGCTCTACGGACAATTCCTTCGACCTCATGGCTTTGCTCTGACATTCACTGTCAACTGTGGGACCTTAGACTGCTCTTCTCTGTGTCACGGAGGCTCTCCGCACTGCTAAAGCTAACTCTCTCTCCTCTGCTCTTGTCCTTCTAGACCTGTCTGCTGCCTTTGATACTGTGAACCATCAGATCCTCCTCTCCACCCTGGGCATCTCCGGCGCGGCTCACTCTTGGATTGCGTCCTACCTGACCCAGTCGCTCCTACCAAGTGGCGTGGCGAGAAGCTGTCTCCGCACCACGTGCTCTCACCACTGGTGTCCCCCAGGGCTCAGTTCTAGGCCCTCTCCTATTCTCGCTATACACCAAGTCACTTGGCTCTGTCATATCCTCACATGGCCTCTCCTATCATTGCTACGCAGACGACACACAACTAATCTTCTCCTTTCCCCCTTCTGATAACCAGGTGGCGAATTGCATCTCTGCATGTCTGGCAGACATATCAGTATGGATGACGGATCACCACCTCAAGCTGAACCTTGGCAAGACGGAGCTGCTCTTCCTCCCGGGGAAGGACTGCCTGTTCCATGATCTCGCCATCACAGTTGACAACTCCGTTGTGTCCTCCTCCCAGAGTGCGAAGAGCCTTGGCGTGACCCTGGACAACACCCTGTCGTTCTCCGCTAACATCAAGGCGGTGACCCGATCCTGTAGGTTCATGCTCTACAACATTCGGAGAGTACGACCCTGCCTTACACAGGAAGCGGCACAGGTCCTAATCCAGGCACTTGTCATCTCCCGTCTGGATTACTGCAACTCGCTGTTGGCTGGGCTCCCTGCCTGTGCCATTAAACCCCTACAACTCATCCAGAATGCCGCAGCCCGTCTGGTGTTCAACCTTCCCAAGTTCTCTCATGTCACCCCGCTCCTCCGCACACTCCACTGGCTTCCAGTTGAAGCTCGCATCTGCTACAAGACCATGGTGCTTGCCCACGGAGCTGTGAGGGGAACGGCACCTCCGTACCTTCAGGCTCTGATCAGTCCCTACACCCAAACGAGGGCATTGCGTTCATCCACCTCTGGCCTGCTGGCTCCCCTACCTCTGCGGAAGCATAGTTCCCGCTCAGCCCAGTCAAAACTGTTCGCTGCTCTGGCACACCAATGGTGGAACAAGCTCCCTCACGACGCCAGGACAGCGGAGTCACTCACCACCTTCCGGAGACATTTGAAACCCCACCTCTTTAAGGAATACCTGGGATAGGATAAAGTAATCCTTCTACCCCCCCCTTACCCCAACCCACCCCCCCCCCCCCCCAAAAAATAAAAAAATAATAAAATAATAATAAAAAAACTCTTTGTAAAGTGGTTATCCCACTGGCTATAAGGTGAATGCATCAATTTGTAAGTCGCTCTGGATAAGAGCGTCTGCTAAATGACGTAAATGTAAATGTACAAATATAGACAGGTGTGTGCCTTTCCAAATCATGTCCAATCAATTGAATTTACCACAGGTGGACTCCAATCAAGTTGGAGAAACATCAAGGATGATCAATGGAAACAGGATGCACCTGAGCTCAATTTTTAGTCTCATGGTAAAGGGTCTGAATACTTATGTAAATAAGGTATTCTGTGTTTTATTTTTAATACATTTGCAAATATTTCTAAAAACCTGTTTTCGCTTTGTCATTATGGGGTATAGTGTTAAGACTGATGAGGGGAAAAAATAATTTAATCAATTTTAGAATAAGGCTGTAACGTAACAAAATGTGGAAGAAAGGAAAGGGGTCTGAATACTTTCCGAATGCACTGTATTTATCCTGGATGCCAATCGACTATTGTTTAATCTGTGTGGTGTGAACAACACAGTGAAATCTAGGGGTCTTTCTATTTGCACAACACAGGGGAAGAAACACAATAACACACACCAAGGTACATTTCTCTTCAAATTAAAGCAAAAGAAACATAGCAACTATCTCCATGTGTTACCAGACCACACTGACAGGAACATACACACTAGTGGTGGTAACCGCTGTTAATCTGACCTTACTGAAAGAACATGACTAATGACTGACACCTCTGATACGACCCAATTGAACTTGAAAAAAAGAAGACCAGTTTGTTGCCATTCTGAGTCTCTGTCTGTCTGTATGGGTGAACCATGATCTGATCAATAACCTGTATAACAAGACAACTAATCATTTGACAAGGCCGGTGGCAGGTATTTCCTGAAATGTTTATTCCACTGTGGCACAAGACCGTATGATTAATCTGACTTTAATTCAAGTCTAGGTATGCAAGGTCATTACTTTGTTTTATCTCATGTTATGATAGTCCTTATATGGCATGTTCTCTTGAGATGTTCTATTGATTCACATGACTGAGTGGACCGGACGTGGTAGGAAACTCCTGGCACATGAAGTACTTTGAGGAACAGCAACGTCTGTGTGTGTTTACAAGGAAGGATGGGAGACTTATTACACAACCCTGGGTTATCTGCACTAAAACAATGATTATTGAGTGTGTGTGCAGAAAGACACACATACCGGTTGCAGCCTGAGAGTATATGATTTTCACAACAAAGAGAACAGCAAATCTCCATGGACTATCCTCTGCAAATAAGAGAACATGTCTCATAACATTGGAATAGAAACACTTTTCACAACACTAGTGCTGCAGTTAAATTATGTCTGATGGGTAGATGGGAGTTTCAGGGGAAACAAAACCTTATAAAACCCCTTAATATGCATCTTACTGGGGGAAGGGAGGAGGACAGGGTGGAGGGAGGGCATGTATGGGAATCCCTAAAACTCCACATGGCAGGAGTTTCTGAAACACAAACACTGAGCAATGGGCATGAGCAGACAATAATGTACATGTACAATACAATGATGGTGACTCATAATTAATACTAGTGAATCACTGAATAAAAATGTAAATGTACAGTGGTGATGAGTGTGCTGCCTTGTCAAACATTAACAAATACAACCCAATATAAAACAGTAGTGTGTGTTAATGAAATTGATGACATTGTGTATTTTGTGTGCAACTTTGTCTTTACAGATTGCATTGCTTTGTGACATCTTGTCCAGGCAAGGTGACGGTATGAATCATCATGACTCCTTTCTTTGGATTCCTCCGGACTTCCCAGTGAGTTCATGAGTAAAGCATGACAGGTGAGGTGAGTCAGGTGTGTTTCTGTTTC